GGGAAAAAGAAAAAAACCTCTTACCTTAGCAGGAGTTTTATTCTGTAGCCAAATATGAGTGACCCTGGCCCAGGAACATGGTTGCTTCGAGTACCATGGTCTAACCTGGTAAAAGTTTCAGAACAAAAGAGAGTCATCTGTGGGGCACCCCCATGTGATGGAATTTTTAGCTTTGGTGTTAATAGAAACTGCTGCTTTGTTGACATACCCTAAAAGGTTTCATGTGATAACCAGAGTGTTGCTATGTGGACACAGAAATAGGCAGTGACTGGCTACTAAGGGGACTACAGACAGCTCAAGACGATTTGCATCTAGATCTGCACCATTCTAGCTTTCCACAGTCATGAAATGCTAATCAGATAGGCAAGTAGCATCTTTAATACAGGTGTGGTTTTTTTTTTTCTGGAAACTTCAATGAAAGACAGTTCTTGGCGGCCTAAATGTATACCTTTCTACTCACCATGTCTTAAGGCATGAGGTTTGAGGAACTATGTCTGTCTTGTCTGTCTTTCCATCCGTCTGTCCATCCATCCATCCATCCATCCATCCATCCATCCATCCATCATCTATCATCCATCTTTCTGCCTGCTTGCCTACCTGCCTATCTACCTACCTACCTACCTACCTACCTACCTACATACCTACCTACTTTACCTACCTACCTACCTACCTAACCTACCTAACCTACCTACCTACCTACCTACCTACCTACCTACTTAATCTACCTACTTACCTACCTACCTACCTACCTACCTACCTACCTACCTAATCTACCTATCTATCTATTCATAATACTAAGGGCTTGGTGTGAACTACTGTGTGGTTTCTTTCCACTCTGGGTATTTTTTTCCTTAGCCCTGCAGCAGCCATAGGCTGTGTTCCAAACAAACTTTATTTATAAGCAGCCAGATTGCAGACCCTAGTTGACCATCTCTGATTTATAAAGCACCTGGCCCAGTGCTTGGGGTAGCATGGTTCATGTTTTAGTCTGCTCTGGTTTTAGTCTGCTCTGGGCCCTGTTCTAAGTAAATTTCTTGTTTTATCTCATTTAGTCACCTCCAAGGAAGTTACCTGACATCCCACAGGTCTTAAATAAAGCCCTTTAAAGCTCAGACCTTCCTTCCTAAGCATGGGGACCCAGACCATCCACTGCTTCATATAAACCCCTGCTCTATGTCACATGCTGTGGGGGGTATTTGGAGTTCAGGGGAGTGCATTAGGCCTCTTTTTATGTTTAGGGAAGAGTGTTTTTCCTGCTGATGTCTTGCCTCTGTTCCTTATTACTCTCTTCCCCTTCTTTTCCTTCTCCCTCACTTTATCTTTTGTAGCTGTTTTAGATTGTTTTATGTGTATGAGTGTTTTGCTTGCGTGTATATATGCCCTATGTGTATATCTGGTGCCTGGAGGTTAGAAGAGGTCAGATCCTTTGGAACTGAAGTTCGGGATGGTTGTGAGCCACCATGTGGGTGCTAGAAACAGAACCTGGCTCCTCTGTTAAGAACAAGAAGTGCTCCAATTCTGAAGCCCTTGCTTTTTCTTTTGTTGAGACCAAGTCTGGCCTCTAACTCATTATGTACTCAAAGATGACTCTGATCCTCTAATCCGTGTCTTCACCTCAGAGTGTTGGACCAAGCATACTGCTTTCATCTTGTTTTTTTAATCTGATTTCCCTGGGGAGGCAGCCTCACAGGGTCAGGGACCTTGCCCTTCCAGCCCTATCTTCAGCATTGACCTTCATCCTGGCATAGAAACAAGTCCCTCCTTAGATATTTATCCAAGAAATAAAGGAGTCATTTCCCACTGTGCGCTTCCCTCCCCAGCCAGCAAACATCCTAGTCTTTTGCTTTGATGGGATATGGGCCAACAAGGCAGAGATCTCTACTTCAGGAGTGATGGTGTTGCCTTAGCTGGGGAAATCCCTCTTATACACAGCCCCGTGGGCCTCATGTGCATCTTCTGGCATTGGAGGGTCCTTTGAGGACTCTTACTTCTGGATATGAGTACTGAGGTGCTGAGATATGACACTAGAGTTACTTACCTAGAACCCTTCAGGACTGTGATCTGAACCCTCACTGACAGCATCTGCCTCCGCTTGTTAGCCTCCACCTCCCACTCCTGATGAGGCTGCACTAGAGTGGGGACTGAACACTTGCTCTGAGCACATGTCTCCCGGGCGAATCTGATGAGAGCAGGCTTGCTATTTCTCAAGGGCTGTCTAGTCTGAATGGTGGCAGCTTTATATTTATGTGAACTCAGTTTTGGTGTAGTGAGTTACTGTAGATTTTACCTCTAAGACATCTGGGCAAACACTTTCCCATGCATTGCTAGGCAGATGGATGTTCTTCCTGTCTTTGTGTTGAGATGGTCTCCTGTGTCTACTGCTCTGGTGCTCACTTTGTAACTGCTGAGGATGGCCTTGAATCTCTGACTCCCTGCCTCTTGCTCCCAGAGTGCTGGGGTTATAAGCATGTACCACTGCACCCAATTTTATTAACAGGACCCAGAGCTTCCTGCTTGCCAGGCAAGCATCCCTCAACCCTTGTTTTTTTGTTTCTTTTTTTAATGACTTAATTAAAAACAAAGAGTGGTGTATAGCCCAGGCTGGCCTACTTCACAGCAGTTTTCTTAGTTTTGCAGTGGAAAGCCATAGCTGGCTTGTGACTTTATTTTGAGACATTTTTGCAAAAAGTTGCAAAGACAGTAGAGTACTCTTTAAATTTTTACTCAGCAATAATATTTGAGAGCTAAGAGTTTAAAAAATATAGAGCCATTATTTGGCCCAATATCATTCATAATAATTCTTTTCATGTCATCAAACATTGTAGCAAGCCATTGTAGTTGCAAAACGAACCGTCCTGTCGTTAGATAGGCTTATTGCTTTACCTATTAGGTGCAGTTTCTCTCTTTGACTGCCCTGGCTTGGAGTTTGTTTAGAAAAGGGACAGGAAATTCTTGTTTCTTTCCATTTAATCTGTGAACCAGAATAATGGCTTGTGTCACTAAGTGTCTTTTTATCATCCATATAAGTCTGTGTGGCGCATAGTGTGATGTGTGTTGGTACACTGCTTTTCTAACTCACCCTTTTTGCAGCCAGGGTCCCTTCTGACTGCTTCTAGAGCTTTGAGCATGCCCACTCACCTTTGGACTAGTAGCTCTGGGGTATAATATAGTGTTCTAGCCTTATCTTGTTTATTTCTTGCTCAGTAACTTGTTTTCAAACAGAAGCAAGTTTTGATACCCTGATTCTGCCCCCCAAACAAGCTTCTTCTGGAACTGTGGGAACAGAATAGGATCAACAGACTGGATGGGAAACCCATTGATTAGAGTAGGTCGTCTCTTCTGCTCTCTGAATGCCTTCTCTCAACTCTTCTTGTTCCTTCACAGAGGCCATTTGGAAATTGAGATCTCAATGTGCACATGTTAAATGCTTGAGCTCTGTGCTGGTAATATTCCACCTTCTGTGGAGCCTTCTGCCTCTGGTAAAGAGATTCTTTAATAGCTGGCTCAAAATCTCTGTGGCTCCTAGAGTTGCCTTATAGGAGACCCAACATTTTTTTTTTTTTTTTTGTTTTTTTGAGACAGGGTTTCTCTGTGTAGCCCTGGCTGTCCTGGAACTCACTCTGTAGACCAGGCTGGCCTCGAACTCAGAAATCCACCTGCCTCTGCCTCCCAAGTGCTGGGATTAAAGGCGTACGCCACCACTGCCCTGCAGAGACCCAACATTTTTAACCTGACCTCCAGTATAGACTCCACAGCCTCCATCATAGACTGCCAGATCTCTTGCCAGATGTTGAGCCTAGGGGTCTCCACAGTTAAGGCAAGTGTTCTGCTGTAGACTTAAGTCCCTTTTGGGTCCCTGGGTCTGCCATACTTTTCCATATACCTGGGCTCTGAGCATATTGCTTTCTGTCAGGAATGTCTTGCTTTTCCTGTTGCTGTAGTTGCCTTCCATTCATTCTTCAAATGCTGGATTGGCCTTCCATAGAGAGGGCTTCTCTGAGCCTCACGAACCAACTCGTGCTGCCTTATGTGAGCTCCATGGTCATATCTACCCTGATTGCAGTTACATTTTGCATTGTTTCTAGTGTTTGTATAGTCATTGTTAATTGTCTGTCTCTAGAGCCCTGACTGTCTCTCACACATCCTACCACTTTTAGATATAGGAGCTCAGACAGGTTTTTAACTTCTGTTCTCATTTAATTGCAGAATGGGGGTGAACGTAACCCTGCCTTGTAGGGTGGCCTTGGAGATGAGCTGGTCAGTTATGTAGTGTGTTGAACAGCTTGTAGAGCAGGGTAATGGTCTGCCATAGGTGGGTACACATGGGCTGTGTCTTATGAAACACAGTAAGTGCCAGGAAATACCTTCTGGAGGGATGAGATAGTGAAAGGACATCTCTCAAAGTGTTCATGGGCCGTAAAATAGTACAGCCTGGGTTGGGCGTTGTAGATCAGTGAGGAACACGAGCCGAGCATGTGCAAGGTCCTGGGCTTGATGGCTAGCAACGCAACACAAAAGTAGACATCTCTTTGTGAGGAGATAGCAGATGCTTATTAAAAACGTGCTCACTAAATGGATGTGTAAAGTGAGGAGAGTGATAATAACACTATCACACACGATTGAGGTGGAAATATAGGAAGGGCTTGTCCATTGTACTTTATAGAGTGCCCAGCACATAGTAGGTGCTCATAAAATACTTGTTGAATGGGTGAATGATGTGGGGCCAAGGTTAACTAAAGGTCATGGGGTTGCCATGAAGATGGGTTGATATCATGTACTATGCTTGCGTGCAGCAGGTACTCACGGGACATTTGTTGGGTAAAAATAGAGGGATGTGCTCTGAGGCTCAGGAGAGCAGTCCATGCGGCATGCAGAGGTGTGAGGATGTGGGCCATGATCCTTTGAAAGAAGAGTGGTCAGCTATGCCTAGCTCATCCAGACTTGGAAAGTTAAGCTTGGATTTCCCCTCTCCTCCCTCCCCTGTGCCTTCTGTCTTCTAGAATCCATGCCCAGAATCGAGTGCCTCTTTCCTCTCCAGGATCACTTTCTGGTGGATTACAGGGTAAGGCTGGACCTCCATATGGGGTAGGTAGTGGAACATGAATGCAGGGGTGTACGAACACTCCCATGGAGCTCAGCTTCCTTTAATTTCCTCCTGTACTGTCTGCAAGTTATATCTTAAGGTCAATAACTAGCCTTCAGTGTTATGAATGCCTGAGTGATTAATCCACTGGCTGTGAGCACCCTTAGCTTCTGGCATAGGCTTTTAGCTGGCTTGCTTAGGCTCCAGGCTTGCCTTGTGGTTGACTATTTAATATGGAATCCTACCAGGCTTGGTTCCAGGACCCTACAGATACCACTGATGCTTAGTTTTCGTATAAAGCAGAGTAGCATTTGCATTTATCCAGATCTGCCTTGTCTTCTGAATCATGTCTAGATGCTGCATGACCCCTAATGCAGGGTAAATAGCTACCATGCTTAAGGAATGATGACAAGGAAGAAGATATTATGTCCCCCGAAGATGAAACTTTTCAACACAGACACATTGTCATTTTCTCCTACCTTATAGCAAAGTCATATATGCATGTCATAGGAAACACATAAGGAATATATGCATCACCACCAAGAAAACATCTAGACTTTGCTGATATTTTCATAGGAAGCAGGTCAACCTTGGCTACATAGAGTGTTGGGGCCAATCTGGCCTACATGAGGCCATGTTTGAAAATAAAATAATTAAAAATAAAATTTACAAGTCACAGCAGAAATAAGAAACACCCAGATATTTCTTTCTAAACACAGCATGCACCTGTTTGTCAAATGAGTCTGTTTTGTTTCTCTAAAAGACCTAGTAGAATTAGCCAGTTGATATGCCTTCATGTCCTTGTAGTCTCAGAGTTTTCCAGTCATGGCTGGATAGCAAGAGCAGGATGTGAGGGAGGCCCATAGACTCTTCCTTCAGTGTTCATTGTGTCTTCCTTTGTGCCTTGCTCCCAGAATGATGGTGCAGGGCTACCGCCAGCCCCTGGAGAGCAGTGACCTCTGGTCATTGAATAAGGAGGACACGTCAGAGGAAGTGGTGCCTGTGCTGGTGAATAACTGGAAGAAGGAATGTGCTAAGTCAAGGAAGTGAGTATCAAATTTCCGTGTTCTTCCAGGCAGGGCAGACGCAGCCTAGACTGACCTGTTACCTACCCTTAGCCACCGTGGCTGATTTCTGATTCTAGGGAAACTGCACCACCGCCTTACGCTGCAGTTCCTCTTCTCTCATATGGGGGGAGTGGAAGTGTTTAACACCATAGGGAGCTCCCAACAGTTCCCTCCTGTATTGTCTGCAGTTAGATCTTTAACTCTCCAAAATGAGAGAGGAGGCCATCTGCCAAACTCGAGTTGATTCTTCTAGTTACAGTCCTCACCATGGGCCTTGCCCTATTCGCACAGTCAGTCTTTAACTTTTTCCTCTCTGAGCATCTGTTTGATGTCTTGAATATTCCCTGAATGTTCTTGCTGGGGTTGAATGCTTTTTGTTGAACATGTCAAACATGGAACTTGAACCATGGTGTGCCACCTGAGGCCAAGGCTTCAGTGTACCTGCTGCTTTGGTGCTGAACTCTGGAGCTGGGTTCAGGCACTGGGACAAAGCAGGCAAATGTCTTGCACCTTGGATTGTATCGTTTTATAGTCAGATCAGAAGAAGTGAAGGGCATAGTGACATAGGGGAGAGTATTCAGGGATTGCTCCTGTGAGAAGGTGACATTGAAAAACACTCATTCAAAGGAGGGAGTGAACCATACATACCCTGGGACAGGGCCTTCTAGTTAGAGGGACAACTGATACAGAGGTCCTGAGGCACCTGTTGAGGTTTGAGAGAATGACTGAGACTGGGACGTGTCTTCGCAGGGGCCCCAGGCTATGCTAGAGAGTTACATTGAAGGCACAGTAGGAAGTCAGAGGCTGATTCTATACAGGGCATCAGTGTGGTGAGAATTCTGTTCAATGACAACCACTAGAGTCTCATTTTAAAAATATGTTTATATGTATGATGTATGTATGTATGTATGTATGTATGTATGTATGTTTACATGTGTGAGTCTGCATTGCTATAGCATGTGCATATGGGAATCAGAGGATAGCTTATGGGAGTTGGTTTTCACTCTCTACCTTGTGGGTTCAGGGATTGAACTCAGGTTGTCAGGGTGGATAGCAGGTGCCTTTACACATTGAGCCACCTCACTGGCTCTGAGCCTATCTTTGTTTCTGGCCCAGTGTGCAGTTGGCTTGTGTACTGACTGGTTTTGTGTGTCAACTTGAGACAAGTTAGAGTCATCAGAGAGGAAGGAACCACAGTAGAGAAAATGCCTCTTTGAGGTCCAGATCAGTGAAGGAGGGCCTAGCCCATGGTGAGTGGTGCCATCTCTGGCCTGGTGGTCCTGGGTTTTATAAGAAGGCAGGTTGAGCAAGCCATGAGAAGCAAGCCAGTAAGCAGCACGCCTCCATGGCTTCTGCATCAGCTCCTGCCTCCAGGTTCTTGCCCTATTTTGATTTTCTGTCCTGATTCCCTTCAGTGATGAATAGCAATGTGGACATGTAAGCCAAATAAACCCTTTTGTCTTCCACTTGCTTTTTGGTCCTGTTGTAGCAGTGATACAAAACATGACTAAGACAGTCTGTGATAATACTTTGTGGTCTCCTCAGCCTGTGCTTCTCTTATGTGAGGCCATTTTGCATGCATATCAAGCTGCTCAATGGCTGTGAAAGAGAATTTGGTAGTGTTTTTGTTTTGTTTTTAAATTAAGTAGTCACTTACTTGTCATTCAGTTCCCAGGCAGATGCCCAAGAAAACTAGAACTTAGGTTCTAAAAAGCTTTGCACAGACTTGTAGCTGCCTTGTTTGTGATAGCCCATGACAGAATCAAACCTAAACGCCTGTTATGATGTCAGTACAAGTTGGAATTATTGCTTAGAGCTGAAGGAGGAAGCACAAAGTTATAATGCTAATTGAAAAAGTAGCCAGATAGTTGTCCTCCCAGTGTTTGATGCCTAAAGGGGTGTGAACAACAAAACTGAAGGATTTACCAGCAATGTCCCAGTATATCTAATTAAAAGAGAACCAGGTCTGGAGAGATGGCTCAGCGATTAAAGTACCTGATGCTTTTCCAGAGGACTTAATTTGGTTCCCAGTACTGATGTTGGACAAATCATAGGGCTCCAGGTTTGTCCAGAGTCAATATCTTGAGAGGATGGAAGACTTATTGGCCTGCCAGCTCCATCTTGGGGAACTCTAGCTCAAAGAGCTCTTATAGAGGGGGATTGAGTTCTGCATCTAGGCTTGATGGCCATTCTTGTCATTTAGGAGATGTTTATCTTCCTGGATTACCTTGTCTCCTGAGTCAATTTCTAATTCTTTAGGTGAACATTATTTTTAGGCAAGTCAATTTTTTTTTTAAATTAAAGAACAGATGAGCAAGTCCTTAGCTCTGCTTTTTGATCTTATTTAAAGACCACTTGGTGTTCCATGTTCTGATAAATGAAAATCATTTTTTTTAGGAAGTTTGGAGACTAGTTGTTGGAAATTGTTCCTTTTTGCCCCCTTTCCCTGTCATGGTTGACTGTAATAGCTCATTTGTCAGCCATTGTAAGGTTTTGGTGTTGCTGCTGGTTTAGAACTTACAGCATTAGGCAAAGGGGAGCAGAATAACTTTACCAGGGACAAATTTGTAGAGGACGGCCCATCTAAAAATAGGTAGTGTAAAACAAAATCAAGTAGCTGTTAATTGCTCTAAAAGGTATTGGTTTAAAAGACTGAGGTATGCTCTTCTTCCCATATCTATAGTTTTAGTAGCCTGTGATCAAACATGATCTGGAAATATTAAATCTAAAATTGCATTTCTAAGTTTTAAATTATACATTATTTTTGTTCCATCATATTCTGTCACCCAAAGTGACAAAATTCTTTTGTCTACTGTGTACGAACTGTGTATACTACTCACCTGATAGTTGACTGTTCAGCAATCATCTTAGAGAGGTGGCTCAGGAGTTAAGAGCACTGGCTGCTCTTCCAGAGATTCTGAGTTCAATTCCCAACAACCACATGTTGCTTGCAACTATCTGCAATGTAATCTGATACCCTCTCATGGCATGCAGGTTTACATGCAGATAGAGCACTCATATATATAAAATAAATAAATTAAAAACAAAACCCCAGATTTTTTGTGCAAGTAAGCCTTAGGTAGCAGCCTAAAGTACGACACGAGCCTGTTGTTGCTTCAGTCTGCTGTCTCTGTGGATCAACAAGAAGGGTGAGGATAGAAGTAACAGAACACACTCACATTGTGTCATTTTACTACAGGATAGTGTATTTCCTTTTTTTAAAACTGATGTTTGACTTGAAGGTTAAACTTTTATCACAGGTATTTGTAAGAAACCAGAACCAGTAGTATCCATGGATAAGAGGGAGTATTGTATATAAATGTGTAAGAATACAATCTGTATAAACTTGTGTCTGTAGTTAGGTGACTTCAGGCTAGCATTTTAGTGGTGTGGATGTCTGGTGGGGTATTTGTCTTTATTCAGGACTGTCCTATGTAGAACAGGACAGAACTACAACACTACACAGAAGGATGGTCCCTGGGCTGAGTCATTGTGACTCACGTTTATGAAACAAGCCTGCTTGAAAACTTGTGTAGCCATACTGGTTTGTTTTATGGTGGTGGTTGTTTTATTTTGTTTCACCTTTGAGATAAAGTTTTGGCATATAACCCTATCTAGGGTGGTATTTTTTTTCCTATGTAGCTGAGGGTGACCTTGAACTTCCAGATTCTCCTGCCTCCATCTGCCAAGTGCTGTATGTGTAAATTATGCTTAGCAGGTTTTTATAGTTCTTAGCTTCTGCACATACAAGTTGGATCCTTTCTGTGTGTATTTCTGTGGGGCTGGAGAGGTGACCCCATGGATGAGAACGCATACTGCTAGTACCGAGGACCAAGGTTTGACTCCCAGCACCCACATCAGGTAGCTCACAACCACCTGTAACTTTGGTTTCTGGGGATCCAACACCCATTTCTGGCTTTCACAAATACTTGCACTCATATAGTGCATATAAACTCATATAGGCAAATGCACATACACATAAGTAAAAAAATCTTCGATTTTTATACATAATGTGGTGTCATGATCCAGCTTATTTTTTGCATGTGGCTATATAGTTTCCTATTACTATTTTGTTTTGTTTAATTTTAGAGAGGACCATCCTCTATATGTGGCCCAGGTTCTTGGCACTCCTCCTGCCTTACTCCCCAAGTGCAAAGATTGCAGGCATGAGTCATGTTGCCTGGCCTATCACCAGTTTTTGTGGGAAAAAAAAAGATTTATTTCCAGAAATAAATCATGTGCTTGACAGAGGTCATCTGCTTCTGGACCTTTAGCTGTGGGCTCAGACGGATGCCTGTGTGGCTTCCTTGTTTCTTTCTTGACATCTGTCAGCTCATCTTCTCTTTTAGGACGGTTCTAGCCTATCTGGGTCTCTAGTTCCCACTTCAGATTTTAGAACTGGTCCATCACTTCCATCACTTTGTGATATGAAGCAGCCAGCTGAGCTTCTGATAGGGATTGTGAGTCTGTAGAGGAGCTTGGGCCCACCATGCTGCTATGCCTTTCAGTTATAGCCTCTTAGGATTGTGAGTCTGTAGAGGAGCTTGGCGTCAGTATGCTGCAACAGCCTCTCATTCTGTACATCCACAAGGGAGGCAGGACTTCCAGTTTATTGACTCAGAGCCTCATTATGTTGCTCATTGATTCTTCCAATTTGTGATTTATTTCTCCCAGCTTCCTAGCACTGAAGTTACAGTCATATTCCACTATACCTGGCTACTATGAGCCTTGCTTTGCAAAAGAGGAAACTAGCTTTAGTATCCCTGCAGTTGCAGCCAGCAGATGGTCCAGGGAGAATCTGAACCCATGGCTCCCAAGTCCAGGGTCATACTCACTGCATTAAGCTTGACTCTTTATGGTGACATGTCTTAGGTTCTGCTCTTCTTGAATCTCTTGACTGTAGGCTACCTCTGGTAGACTGGATAACTGCTTTACCCTCCTCTCATTCTAGGCAGCCCGTACGGATTGTGTATGCCTCTTCCAGAGACCCCACCAAGTCTAAGGGAAGTTCCCAGTTGGATGTGAATGAGGAGGTTGAGGCACTGATTATCAAGTCGCCCCACAAGGACCGGGACCCCTCTCTGTTCAAGGTGTTATACAAGACTTTTGGGCCCTACTTCCTCATGAGCTTCCTGTACAAGGCCCTTCATGACCTGATGATGTTTGCTGGACCCAAGATCTTGGAGTAAGAACTCTTGCCTGACTACCTAGTTTCCTGTAACCTCCTGAGCCATCCTGTCTTAAGCTAGAGCAGGCTTATTACCTACTCCTTACCTTCGTCTTCTCCAGCTTTATTTAATTACTGAGTTGCAGCCACTTTAATTGCAAGTCACAGAAGCCTTCTGGATACAAACTTAGGAGGATATGGGGCTGTCTAGAATAAGGATGCAGGTAGATCTCATGAGTATCTGCAACTGGAAACTAAGAAGGCAGCAAAGGGGCCTCTGCCATCTTTCTCTCCATCACCTTGGTCTCAGTGTGCTCTATTTGACTACCTTTGAGTGACGTGCTGATGGAGAGACATAACTATCAATATGGTGATCCCAAGGCAGAGGTCCCTGTTGTAAGAAAGAGTCTGGTACCTGACAGTCCTAGCACCCTGTAAGGTAAAGTGTCTGGTGGATGGCTCAGGTGGAAATCACTAGGGTGACTTGAAAGTATTTTCCCTACTGTATGTATCACACTGGAATCTCCCTCCCACCCCCACAGATTGATTATCAACTTCGTGAATGACAGGGAGGCCCCCGACTGGCAGGGCTACTTGTACACAGCACTGCTGTTTGTCAGCGCCTGTCTGCAGACGCTGGCACTCCACCAGTACTTTCATATCTGCTTCGTCAGTGGCATGCGCATCAAGACTGCCGTGGTGGGCGCTGTCTACCGCAAGGTAGGCCAGGCACCACACCCAGTCCTGTGACCCCAGAATCCAGGGACAGCTGGCTGAGGCTCTCTAGGACCTGTGGAGATTTGCAGCTCAGCATCCTCAGCAAAGAAGATGGGGGCTATGGGGACCAGGAGGCCAAAGATAGCCCTCATCACACTTTGTCTCTTAATAAAATGGCTCTCAGTGCCTGATGTGTGGGGTATCAGTGAGTCTGAGTGCTACCTGTGGGTAGCTGGGTTTCTTAGACAGCTTGGCTCTCTTTGATGAAGTTATGGATGGCAATCCAAGTTCAGAGCTTGGGGAGATGGCTAACTAGGTAAAGCACAAGCTTGACAACCTGAGTTTGGATCTCCAGAACCAGATAAGGTTGACAAGGTAGTGCATGTCTATACACTGAGCAGTGAGATAGGAGAATCCCTAGAAGCTCCTGAGTCAGGTAGCCTTGGGTGCAGTAGTGATGAGACCCTGTCTCAAATAATTTGGAAGGCTAGGACAACATCTGTCCTCCACATGGGCACCAGGGATGCATGTGTCTGCATATACATATTCATACATGTGCACATTTTTTATTTTTATTTTTTAAAGAAAAGCAATCTATGTTAAATATTTTAGTTTCACATCCTGGATTTGCCTTCACTTTCACCCTATATTTGAACTGAAGAGGTAGTATGCTTCTTGAATGGAGGCAGGCAAGCTTTGAATGTTTTTATTTATTTCACCATGCTGGAGGTGCACATGACTGGCAGGGACTATTCCACAGAGCTTGGGCCATAGCCCCACTTCCACTTTTTGGTTGTTGTTGATGTTCTGTTTTTTTTTTTTTTTCCGTAGTTTTAATTTTTATTGAAAATAGATTTTTTCATAGAGTATGTTCTGGTCAAGGTTTCTCCTCCTTCAACTCCTTCCAGACCCTTTCCATCTACTCAAGTCCACACTTTCTTTCTCTCATTAGAAAACAAACAGGTAACTTAAAGGGACCCAGGGATCTTCCAGCCCACTCAGGTCCTGGCTTCTGTAGCAGTGGCGCCACGGGGCTCATAGGCTGGCAAGAGAGAGTTTTTCTAGCGCTTCTCACACCTGATTACAGATTGTACTCATTTATTAGCTTGAGTCCTGGTTTGTAGGCAGCAGCCCAGACCACTGGGACTCTGAAGTCAAGGTTGTCGTGCTCAGAGACATAGGGATGTTTTAAAGCCACTGACACCTCAAGACACTTTAGGTATCACAGCTTGGGATGAGGGCATTTTCTGGGTAGAGGGCAGGGACTGTCTTGTAGTTAGTATGACGACTGGCCAAAGAAAGCATTGTCTAGTTCCCAGTGTCAGGGTAATAAGGCCAAGAACCTTGTGTTGGGATATGAGGCCAACAGCATGGTCATAACCTTGAGCTTCTTAGAAATCCAGAATCCTAGCTTAAACACAGACCTGCTAATTAAGAACCCTCAGGTGACATGCCTGTATATGAACTATACAAGGTCATGGTTTAGGAAGTCCTTGGAACAGCTCAGGATGGAGAGAAGAAAGATATATACTTACTACTGTCCAGAGTCTTGTCCAGGGTCTGGGGAGAGTCTGTGACCCTTTGCCTTCACTTACAGGCTCACCTCTTCTCTCTCCTGAATCCCACAGGCTCTCGTGATCACCAATTCAGCTAGAAAATCTTCCACGGTTGGAGAGATTGTCAACCTCATGTCTGTGGATGCTCAGCGCTTCATGGACTTGGCCACATACATTAACATGATCTGGTCAGCCCCTCTGCAAGTCATCCTAGCCCTCTACTTCCTGTGGCTGGTGTGTGTTTTCCCTTGGTCTCCTTCTTGTGCAGGGAGTACTGGCCTCATGTAGGCACTGACAGGGAGGGCATAGGTGGGAAGGAATGTTTCTGGCTTTCATTTACATTTTATTTTCTGGTCTCTTTGCTACTTTCTGCTTATTTTATTCTTTCCTTGTATCGTCAGGGTTTAGTTCCATTTGGTGACTTGGTATGTATGCATTGTCATTTCTTTGTCTATGTGTGTGGGCTATATGTGCATGCATGTGTGTGTCAGAGGTGACCTCAGGTATCCTCAATCTCTCTCCATCTTGTTTTTTTGAAAGTGTGTCTCTTACTGTGCCTGGAGCTCACTGATTTAGCTAGGGTCATTGGCCAATGAACTCGAGACCTGTCCCCACTTACCCTACTCCCGCACTGGAATGATAGATGTACAGTGCTACACCTAGCTTTTTTTATTTATTGTTTTTCTTTTGAGACAAGGTCTCACTATATAGTCATTGCTGCCCTGAAACTTCCTATGTCTACCATGTTGTCCTAAAACTCACAGAGATCCTCCTACCTAATCCTCCCCAGTACTGAGATTACAGGCATGCAACACCATGATCTTTTCATGAAGTATAGTTTTTTTCATGAAGTGTATGGAATTAACATTTTTATTTTAGCCTTTTGTGTTGTTAACTCACCAATTCTGTTCCATTGTACCACCTCAAATGTGAAACAAACTCATTTATTAGAACCTAAGAAGTATATGGGGCAGGAGCCTCTTGGTTGTAAGGAATAGAAATCCACCATACCCTGAGCAGACAAAAGGAGTTGTAGGGGAGGAGTATTCATTCCAAAACAATCGGGGAACCTCAAGTATGCATGAATCCTTGAGAACTGCAACTTTTGCAGGGCTCAGTATTTTCCTTGTTATTTTTTGGCCCTACTTTCTAGAATTGTCTTCATTCATAGACATTGTGTCTTCTTTAGCTCTGGCCTTGTGTTATCTTGACAAACAGTAATACAGAAGAACAAATTGCGGCTCAGCCCTGTTCCTGGCCCTGAACCAATGGTTGTAACCTAGGAAGGAGAAGTCTGAGTCATGGTTCCTCTCCATGGCAAAAGGATGTAATATTATTATTATTTCTAGTGGGCCATTAGTAGTTTCAAAATTGAAAAGACAGTGAGCTAGGAGGAAAGAACAGCATATGTTCCCTAACCCTAACCCTAACCCCTAACTTCTAAACCCTAACACCTAACCCCTAACCCCTAACACTAACCCCTAACTCTAAACCCCAACCCTCTAGCCCTCTAACCCTAACCCCTAACCCTAAACCCTAACACCTAACCCTAAACCCTAACACCTAACCCCTAACCCCTAACTCTAACCCCCAACCCTCTAACCCTCTAACCCTAACCCCTAACCCTAACCTCAGGAATTTCCTTCCTTCCTTCCTTCCTTCCTTCCTTCCTTCCTTCCTTCCTTCCTTCCTTCCTTCCTTCCTTTTTTCTCCTTCCTCTTTCTTTCTTTTTTTCCTCTCAGTCCTGAGGCTGGAACTTGAGGTCCCTTTGCATGGTAGGTAAGCGCTCTACCACTGAGCTCCTTTACAGCTGAAGGGATGACCCTCCTTACTTCCACTGATGATTCTTACCCCGTCCTATCTTTCATTTTTCCTTAATCTTTAGGATTTGTGCATTAGTATGTGTGTAGGCGTGTGTGCACATTTATATGTGTGAGTGTGGAGACACACTGGCCTTAGTGCGTGTGTAGGCGTGTGTGCACATTTATATGTGTGATTGTGGACACACTGGCCTTAGTGGGACCTGGGAAAATGGAGCCAATAAATGAGACAGACTGAAGTTTCATGCAATAGCCAACTTTATTTAGAGCCCCAGATAATGTATACTCCTGAGGGTTAAGAAGGGTCACCTGAGTAAAGTTTTTAAGTTCAAGTTATAAGGATAAGCCATAGTTGGCAAAAACATGTTTTTCCATAGAGGTATGTAAACAATTATTTAAACATTTAATTGAATAACATCAACAAACAATAATGAGTAATCTGAAGAAGCATGAGAACACATTCCAAGAACAATTCGTGGGTTGAAGAACTGAGGTCACAAGACTTGCCTTATTTTCTTGGAGTATTCTCACAAACCCTCAGAATTCTCATATAAATCAATTCCTGGACCGAGGTCTGACACACTTGCTTAGAGGATAACTTTGAATTTTGGTACTCACCTTTTACCTTGTTTGAGACAGGATCTTTTTCATCCTAGGTGTGTGCTAGACTTGTTGGCTTGCAAGCTTCCAGGATTTTCCTGACTCTACTTCCTTTCACAACTGTAGTTCTCTGGGTTTACAGATGTGCATACATGGGTTCTGAGGATCTGAACTCGGGCCACACACTTGTAGGACATGTGACCTACTGACCCAGATCCCCAAATATCCTGCCCCAGATACTTGACCTCATGATGTACTGTTCCCAACACCCATTGGTGTTGCTTGTGGATAGATAACCATTGGAGTCTCCATATCTCTGGTGGGTGCTGTACCTGATCACATCAGCAAAGTATCTGTTGAATGGAGTTTATATTTAAATGTCAAGAAATTACGTTTATTTGTGTGCATGTTTATGTGTCACAGAGCTCATGTGAAGTCCAGAGAACAAAATTTGAGAGTCAGGTTTCTCCTTCCACCTATGGGACTGGGGTCATCAGGTTTGCTGGCAAGCATACTTGCAGACAAATACTTAACCCATCTTCCCAGCTCTCCTGTGGCAAGCACTCTTGCTCACAGAGTCCCACTGTCTTACCAGTCCCACTGCTTTGTATAGATAGAGAGGAGTGATGAGTAAAACCCTTATGATGATGCAGCTGAGAAAGAAAAGCATTAGACCTAGGACCTGGCCCTTGGGGAGAAGCCCTGTACTCTACCTCCAGCCCCACAGAGAGAACACAAATAGCTATATACAGGTCTTCAGGTATATACTGTGGTGTGTACCCTTTCCTAGGAATTGTAATCCATGTAAAATGTTGAGAAACTTCTAGGGATGTTTGTAAATTATAAAGAAAGACGGATCTAACTTAGAGGCTGGTCTGGGCTACACAATAAGACTGTTGTTGTAGATGTAACTTTTATTTGCCAGATGTAATTATCTTCTTGGAGGCTTACTGCTAAATAAGCTTATCCTTTCTAGCTCTTTCTGAACTGTGGCTGGCCGGTTCAGCTCAAACCTGTTCTGGCTCAAACTCCTCTCCAAGCTGACAGATTCAATCTGGCTTCTTGGCTTCTCACTTTATTTATTGCTCTGCTTGGCCTCAGACTAACTGGCAATTTATTTGTTCATCTTCTGGCTCCGTCATATCATCTGGCCTATTCTGTCCTCATCTGTATCTAGTTTGTTCTCTGTGTAACCTGGTAAAAGTGCCTGGTAAAAACTGCCTCTGAACTGAACTCAACCAAACTCAACGGACTCAACTCTCCCTTTCTACACTGCTCTTTAAGTAACCTCTCTTTCCTGTCTGTTCTTGTGATAGTTGGGCATATCCTATCTCTGACTCATTCTGTCAAACCTTTGTCTGGTTAGTCACTTTACCCCTCAATTAGACTTCCTTCTACAAAATAATCTTGCCTTCATTGTTAGGGATTAAAAGTGTATACTAAGGGCATGCCTGCAGTCCGCCTGGACCACATAGGAGGTCTCTGGATATAATCCCTTGCCAGAGCAGCCATGCTGTTGGATTAAAATTCCTCTCCAGACTGTCTTAAGACCTAAGCAATATTTCCTTACTTAGACCACCAACCCTTACAGTATAGGATGGTGGCTGCTGAGGACCGGGCTGGCTTTTACATTCTGGGTTCTCTGACCTTGGGCATACTCTCCCCCCAAAAATACCGTAACAGTGTATCTTTAGTGTCCCAAATTGTGAACCTTGGCCAAATGAGCATGTGATACTCAGGAAGACTAAGAGATATCAAAAATTTGCTATAAAACTTTATTTCCCAGTATATTTATATTGTGTGAGAAATGAGTAACTTGGCTGGAGAGATGGCTCAGGGGTTAGAAGTGCTTGCTGTTCTTCCAGAGAATCCAGGCTTGGTTCTCAGCACCCCTTTCAGACAGCTCACAGTTGCCAGTTACTATCTCCAGGGTATCTGATTGTCTCTTCTGGCCTCTGCTGGCCAGCATTTGTATTCATGTGTCATAGAAATGTAGACATATGCATATAGTACATTTTTTAAAAAGCAGTAAGCATGAAATTAATACATTAAAAATTTACTTGAATGGTCAGGGAGATGGATCATTCTATAAAATACTTGCCAGGCAAACACAAAGGCTCAAGTTTGATGCTCTAGATCCTCCCTCTCAAAAAACAAACAACAGCAACAAACAAAACAAAAACAAACCACAAAAGTCAGAAATTATCTATTATAAGAGATGTGGCAAATGAGGCAGAAAAAGAGATTTCTAGGTTTCACTGACTTGTTAACCTTGCCTAACCAGCCAAATTCTAAGCCAGAGAGAGAAAGAGACCCTATCTCATAAAACAGGGCAGATGGTATCCCGAGGAGTGACACCTGAGTTTGAGCTCTGAACTCTTTCTCTCACACACACCTGCATGCTGCACCCCCATGTACATTCAACCTGTGTATTGCAACCCTCATACACACAACACCTGTGTATCATACCCTGCCCAACAAGCACAAGTCCACATGCAAATGTTTGTAATAAACATTAAAAAAAAAAGAATTCAATCATAGAATGTTCTGCTAGCCTATGCTGAGAGTGTCATGAAGTATGTGACATATACTGTGCCAGGTTCCCCAGAGCTTTGCCAGGCTTTATGATTTCATGGTAGAGCAGTAGAGTCAAAATTGATTATAGAAAACCATCAGAGTTGCTAGAGAGATAGCTTAATCTATAAAAGGCCTGCTGTACAAGCATGATGGCCTACATTTGGTTCCTCATTACCCCTGCAAAAAGCTGGGCCCAGCAACACATGTTTGTATCCCAGTATTGGAAGTTGGGGCAGGCTGGTTTTAACCAAATCGGTAAGCTCCAGGTTCATGAAACTATCTGTCCTGTCTTCAAGAAATGAGGTGAAAAGTTACTGAGGAATACATCAAAGTCAACCTCTGGCCTGTGTGTGTGTGTGTGTGTGTGTGTGTGTACATTCTCATACATGTATACATATACACATACAAATCAGAAAGGATAAGGCACAGATGTAAAGGCAGACAACAGTCAGCTTGAGTCTCTAGCAGGTCAAGGTCGCTGTTGAGAAGCTGGGGAGATGGGTGTTGCAGCTCATCTGTATGTATGCTCTACCTGGCAAATACAAAAAACCTAACCTAGAAGAAAGAAGGCTGGACACAAGCCACACTGTTGGTGCCAGCTGGTGTAACCCAAGTCCCACAGTGCCAGTGACCAGCCAGTCTTGTGGTCACTTTTCCAGCCTTCTTGATTAGGAAGTAATCAGGCTGGAGGTTAACTAGCCAGCACCTTGGGGCCTTTCTAAGAAGTCAAAGGTCAAATTTTCATAGCTTACCTGGTTCTCAAGAGTTTGGATAATGCTTTAGGTAATGTAAGAATATGCTTTAACTGTGTATTCTTCTTGGGAAGCTCCAACACTGAAAACTCTTGAGGCCTCATCTTCGAGTGAAAGGAATAAATGATTGACACCATTCTTGCTTGATAGGGTCTGCCTGAAGTATGTAATTCACATTAGATTAAGTGAGTGCCAGGGCTGTCTTTTGTTTGCTGAGTAATTAATTGTCACCTGTCTCTCTTTAGAGCCTGGGCCCTTCTGTGCTGGCTGGGGTGGCTGTGATGATCTTAATGGTGCCCTTCAATGCTGTGATGGCCATGAAGACCAAGACCTACCAGGTAGGATGTCCATGTCCATGAGACTTCATTCTGAACCCTGGCCTGGGTCTTTCCAGGTGATGATCACCCAGCTTCCTGATGCTCAGGCCTGGGATGGACAGCCTGATCTATAATACAGGGACACTGCTTCCCTGAGTGGCCCGACATTCAAGTTTCTGCAAGTTTGGAACTCAGCGCCCTAGAGTTGGTCTGAGCAGGAAGGCAGAGTCTCTATCGTAGTAGCTGAGAACCAACCAACTTCCCTCCCTCCCTCCCTCCCTCTGCCCCTCCCTCCCCCCCTCCCTCCTTTCCTCCCTCCCTCTGTCCTTTCCATCCTTCCTTCCTTTTCATCTTGTAACCTATACTGGACTCACTTTTAGTCTTCCTGCCCCAAACTATGAGGATTACAGGCTTGCACAACCATGCCTGGCTTCACCTCTAGAACTTTTGACATATAATTTTTAGCTCTAACTAACTGTATAATTACGGGTTTTTGTTTTTTTAAGTTTTAAAAGTTCTTTTTCTCTCTTTCATTAAAAGTAGATTTTTTTCCCCTCACATAATACATCCTGATATGATTTTTCCTCCCTCTACTTCCAGTTCCTTCATACCTCCTTTCCCATCAGATCCACTCTCTGTCTCTCATTAGAAAATAAACAGGCAGCCAGGCAATGGTGGCGCATGCCTTTAATCCCAGCACTTGGGAGGCAGAGACAGGCAGATTTCTGAGTTCGAGGCCAGCCTGGTCTACAGAGTGAGTTCCAGGACAGCCAGGGCCCCACAGAAAAACCCTTTTTTAAAAAACCAAAAAAAAAAAAAAAAAAAAAAGAAAGAAAATAAACAGGCTTCTAAGGGAATATAATGTATTATAACAATGAAAGATAAAACAAAAACTAGCATATTGAAATCAGAAAAAATAAATAGAAGGAAAGGAGCCAGAAACAGAGACCTGCGTGTTCACATGCGCAGGGATCCCATAAAAACAGTCAAGTGGTGAGATCTTTTATTCTGTGTTTTTATCCAGTGGGTGTCTTTTCCTGTATGGATCATGGGCTCTTCCCTTCCCTCATTCTTCATCTTCCATGTCTCTCTGCCCTATTGTTGGGTGTCTGCTATCCTTGGCTGCACTGATGGGCCCGGGTGGTCTATGATGGGGTGAGGTGGGGATGGGGATGACTGTGTAGGCTGATGTCATGGAGCAGGCCAGCCAACAGGTTTGGGATATGAAGTAGGCTTCCCTGAGTGGTTTATCTCCAAAAATGTCCTTATCTGTTTTGTTTTCAGGCTTAGTTTCTTGTAACCCAGGACTGATGAAGCCACTGACCTGCCTGAGCAGGGATGGTGGTGTATGAAATGCTTAGAAAGTTACCTGCCAAGGGTGATGTGCCAGATGTTTTTTTAAAGTATTTAACAACTGTATGTCTTTGTCATGGCTGGTCAGGACCAGTGCCAGCGGGTTGTTTTAATGACCAGGGAGCGGCTAGAAATCAGTTGTGAAAAAAAGAAAACTAGCATATGTGATGGTGTACTCTTGTCGGTCTCACGCTTAGGAAGCTGAGGCATGAGGATAGGGGTTCAAGGGCAGCCTGGACTTACAGAGTAAAACCCTGTGATGAAGAGAGAGCGAGAAGCAGGAAGGATCAGGAGCGAGGAAGGGAGTAAAGAAGGAAGGAGAAGAAAAAGGAAGGGAGGAATAATGTATTTTTTCCCTGTTTGGGTCATCCCGTCTCTGAATGCCTGCAAGGCTTGTCTCACCCCCATCCCTCGGCTTTGAGTTGGTCTCTCGGTTGTGACCAACCTGATTTGAAGCATTTTCAACTTTTATGATGGCTGAGTCTCTTGCCGTGGTCCGGGAACTGGCAGTATGGCTCATGGGGTCCAGGACCAGCTTTCCTATCTTCTGGGAGGAGCCATTTCTGTTTGAAGAAGCCCTAGGGTTCTGGATGCTGATCTCTCCTCCCTCTCTAGGTGGCACACATGAAGAGCAAAGACAACCGAATCAAGCTGATGAATGAAATCCTCAATGGGATCAAAGTACTCAAGTTGTACGCCTGGGAGCTGGCTTTCAAGGACAAAGTTATGAGCATCCGGCAGGAGGAGCTGAAGGTGCTGAAGAAATCTGCTTACTTGGCGGCTGTGGGCACATTCACGTGGGTTTGCACACCTTTCCTGGTGAGTGTGGCAATGGCGAATAGTTCTAATGTCTTCTTGTGTTTTTAACCTAAATATTTGTAAAATTTTAAAAATCAAACGTCTTTATTTTTTGCCTGAGTGTAGGGGATATGAGTGCTTCAGCACACATACAGAGGGTAGAGGGTAAGCAGGATTCCCTCCTTCCACATGTGGGCTCTAGGGCTTGAACTCTGCTTGTCAGTCTTGGCAACAAGTGTCTTTGCCATTGAGCCAGCACCTAACCTTTTTCCAAAGACTGCTAGTTCAGGGCTGGGGTTTAGCTCAGGAGCACACTATTTGCTAAGGTATGATGTCCTGAGTTCCGTCTGTCACCATGAAGCTAACCAGACAAAAGATTGTCATTTGAGCAAGGGCTTCTCCATCACCCCTCTCCAAGGCTGATGCCCTCATCCCACTTTAATTGTACCCTTGGCCACTTCACGTGGCTGGTCCAGCCAGCCATCTGTTATAGAATGCAAACCTGTGCTGTCAGTTTTCTTCATTGAGAAAGTCTTACAAGAGAGCATGCTAGGACTGGGGTGATGACTCTGTAGTGAAGGATTTGACTTACAAGAACGAAGACCTAGGTTTGATCTCCAGCACCCATGTTCAACAATAGAGCCAGGAGTGGTAGTGAGGTAGAGCCGGGCAAATTCCTGGCCTCTCTGGCCAGAGTCTAGCCTACGTGCTGAGTTCCATGCCAGCGACAGTGCCTGTTTCAAGAAACCAAGGTGGACAGTGCCTAAAAATGACAGCTGAAGTTGTCTGCTGGCCTCTACATGTACTCACATACACATGCACATAAACGTATCTAAACACACACAGTGTTATCTGAACTAAACTATTTAGTACCATAACTGACAAGACTCCAGGGGACCGGTGACTTCTTCTTACTAACTGACTGCAAGCTATGGTTTGTCAGTAGTCTAAGACCATGTGTCCAGTGGCACTACCAGACATGTTCTAAAATAGTTTTGTTTATTGCCCATGTCTGAAGTGTCAGCTCTGGGAGGGAGTCTGTGGACAGCCTGTCCCTGTTCCTCATAGGGCCCAAGGCTGTCACTTAGTACCCTGCTGTTCATAGTAACAACCAGATCACATAGGAAGTTCTAAAGTGTAGATGCATGCTGGCCCCAACATCTCTGCTATGACAGGTCTCTTGCTTCAGTGAGAGTGTTTTGTGCATCTTTGGAAAACAGGGTCTAAGGATGTACATACTTAAAAATACCTTTATGAGGGTTGGAGAGATGACTCCGTGTTCTTCCAGAGGACTGAATTCAGTTCCTAGTACCCAAAGCAAACTGTTGGCAGCCACCTGGAGCTCCAGATCTAGGGCATCTGATGTCCTCTCTAGCCCTGTGGCTACTCATACGTGTGCCACATACACAGAGATACACACAGATAAATAAAAATAAGACAAATCGCAGGGTGGTGGTGGCACACGCCTTTAATCCCAGCACTTGGGAGGCAGAGACAGGCAGATTTCTGAGTTCGAGGTCAGCCTGGTCTACAAAGTGAGTTCCAGGACAACCAGGGCTACACAGAGAAACCCTGTCTCAAAACAACAACAACAACAACAACAACAACAAAAGATAAATCTTTCAAATAGTTTTATGTATTCTAGTAGAATTGTACTATATGTAGCTTGGCATGCTCAAGACTCTGGGTTTGATTACAACTCTGAAAAAAAAGTGTCATCCGACATGGGCAAGTCACTCATCCTTCCTCAGCCTGTCAGCTGGTCTTCTGCAGGGTCCGTACCTCTCCTGGACACAAAGTCATCTTGCATTTCATTCCCTTTACTTTGACATAGTAATTGGAGGCACTCCAGAAGTCTTCATTGTTGAGAACTAGGTGTGTGGTGGATGGGGGTGGGTGACAAGGTTTACCTGAGCAGTGTTCCACACTTTAGAACTTCCTATGTGATCTGGTTGTTACTGTGAACAGCAGGGTACTAAGTGACAGCCTTGGATCCTCTGAGGAACAGGGACAGGCTGTCCACAGACTCCCTCCAAGAGCTGACATTTCAGACATAGGCAATAAACAAAACTAATTTTAGAACCTATTTGGCAATGCCACTGGACACATGGTCTTAGGCCACTGAAGATGGGCCTGAAACACTTTTTAATAGAGCGTTCTAGGCTGTGACTGAAAATGCTGGCAAAAAGATTCAAAGATCTTTTTTCCTTATCTCCATCCCAAAGCCAGAAAGTACTGGAGAGAAGGAATCTGGACCTCCAAACTTCTCCCTCGGTTTCTGAGTGAGTTGGGTATATGTTACTTTTTTAATTAGTGTGACAGAAATCTCTGACGGGTAACTTACTGGAGGAGGCCTTGGCTTTGGTTGCAGATATCAGTCCACTGTGGTTCCGAGGATCGTGTTGCTTGTGCAGTACATTGAGAGCTTTCAACATGGCTTTCTTCCATTCTGGTGGATCAGGAAGCAAGGCCAAGCTATAACCTGGAAGGCTTACCCTGGAAGCCAGTATCTGCTAGCTAAGCCTGGTGTCCCAAAGGTTCCATGTCCACATGTTACCAGTTGGAAAGCAGGGGTCCCAACACATGAGCCTGTGGAGGGGTTTCATCCTGAAACCACAGGAGCAGGAAACGCTGAAAATGCTAGGCCCCTAGGATAGTCTGCTAAGCCTTTTGGCAAGAAACGGTTGGAGCCAGTTGTCAGCGGGGAAGTGGGAACTGCCAAGGTGCCCAGCCTCTGCCTATATTAGGAGAAAATATGTGGTCTGTGCTGCCTTTCCTGTGGAACCTTCTGCTGGCAGGTTCCTGGCTTCAAGGATGGGTGATATTCACCTACAGTGATAGAAGACAGGTGTGGCATACAGAGATGCTTTGCCTCTTGTTCTGGGGTCAGAGCCTAGTGTCTGTCACTTGGTGCCATTTTCTAAGCCATCGTTTTGCATACTCTTTGGTGATCTGTAAGCTGCTTGCGTGTTATTTGGCCTGGACTCCTCTGTAATTTTCACCCTCTGGGGTAATGACTGCTATGTGGCACTCTACCTATCAGAGTTTGGCATGCTCTGTTGGACTCCAGAGAAGAGGGACTTTAGCATAATGATACTTACGTGGTACCTACGTATAGGTGGGTGGATGAGTGACTGAAGTTGTATTCCTTCAGTTCTATCATGCTGACAGAATCTGACTCCATCTGGGATCTGAGGACCTGAAAGGATGGGGTGGAGTATAGTCTAGTGTAGACAACCTTACTTCAGTTTCAGTGTGCTTTTTTATACAGGAATATAACACAGAGTGAACCAAGGACAGTTGCTTGAGTTCAGAAACACATGATCAGAAAAACATGTAAATAAACACCAGTAAGCACATGCTAAATATTATCAGACAGGGCAGCCCTTTCCCAGAGCTTTCTCAGAACAGACCAATCTAAACAGTTGCCTGGCACATACTGTAGATTATGTCTGGGAAACAAAAGCAAGGCAGAAGGCCATATCCAGACTCATGGTACACTGGCCAGATTGGGTTCTATAGCTATGTTCCGACATCCAACAGGAATAAACCTGTCTTATAAATCGAAGGTGAATGTTTGTCACAGGAGGCACAGAATCATGTCCACAAGCAATCCAGGGGATAAACTGAGGTAAAGGCCCTCTGCCATTTTCCCCTGGAGCTTCTCTTACAGTTCCCCAAGGCATTGTTCTCTATGGGTCATCCTGTTGACAATGATCCAACAGCCTTTGGCACCCAAAACCTAGTAGTTCAGCTAACAAGTGGTTGTTGTGTGACCACTTCTTGGAGAACATAGGACTCAGAGCCTGACAGGGGACTGAGAGTAAACATGACTGGAAAAAGGGTTAGACTGGTGACAGAGAACAACTTCTGTAATCCAGTGGGCCATGGACTGGCCAAGACTGTGGCTTTTATACTAGAGCACGTTGACTTTAGATAGTTTTATTATTATTATCTGTGTGTGTGTGTGTGTGTGTGTGTGTGTGTGTGAGAGAGAGAGAGAGAGAGAGAGAGAGAGAAAGAGAGCACGCGCGAGAGCGCACACAATGGTGCGTGTGTGGAGGTCAGAGGATAGCCTGTGGGAGTATGTTCTGTGCTTTCACATGTATTTTCAGGGATGGAACCATGAAACTATGGATTTTAGGCTTAGTGGAAAGTGCCTTTGCCTTTGCCTGCTGAACCCCGTTGTGGGCTCCTTTTCCCTCTGCATGCTTTTTCATAGTTGAGATAAAGCTCCACATGAGCATGTAGCTTCTCAGTGTCTCCAGTAGGTTTGCGCATGCTCAGTAACTTGTCATTACCCAGTAGGAGACCTTATACATGGTACACGTTACCTCTGTTCGCTCAGTCCCACTAATGCTGGTACCCGTCAGTGTACTTCCTGCCTGGAGATAAGTCTGTTCAGTCCCACTAATGCTGGTACCCGTCGGTGTACTTCCTGCCTGGAGATAAGTCTGTTCAGTCCCACTAATGCTGGTACCCGTCAGTGTACTTCCTGCCTGGAGATAAGTCTGTTCAGTCCCACTAATGCTGGTACCCGTTGGTGTACTTCCTGCCTGGAGATAAGTCTGCTGGGAACATTCATTGTAAACAAAATAAAAAAAAAGATGTTGGCCTTTTGTTTCTGTCACTTGCAGCACTTTTTATTTCATTCAGGTAATAGCGTGTATAAGAATGTCATTCTTTTTTACAGTGGATAATTAATATTCTATTGTGTGGAATATTTTTAGAGGATTTTGAGCAAACACTTTGGCGTGAGGAAAATAGATGGAAGCTTAATGTCAGCGGAAAAACCAGATACTTCTGGTCCATTTGGAAAAGCTAGAACAAGAGAATTTATTTGTACTGTAATGGAGAGAGAAATGATGGAGGGACGGTGTGGGGCCTGAGTTCATGTGTCAGTGCATCACACAGCACATCATTAATCTGTACAGGTTTTAACGTGTGAATTAAGAAATAAATTTTAATCAGGTATACTGGCACACACCTCAGCACTCAGGAGGCAGAGGCTAGCCCGGTCTATACAGTGATTTCCAGGATAGCCAGGGCTACATAGTAGGCACGTGTCTCAAAAAAGTTTAAAAAAAAAAAAAAAGAATTAAAGAGCAATCCCTGAGGCTACTCGGAAGATCTCTCATCTGGGACTGCTCACACCATAGGGTGTTGATGGCCTTTGGAGTACTGCCTTCCTCCTTGGGCACAGATTCTGAACAGTTCTTCTCAAAGTCTCCTTGGGTCTGCTGGCTTGTTAGTGACAGGTAGAGCAGAAAGCAGGTCTCCTTGCTGGTTGCATTAGACCCAGGCTTTCAGGAGGATGTAATCCTTGGCAGCATCACTCAAAGGACCTGGCCAAGTGTGTAAGGTGGAATAAACTCAGCCTCTTGGATGATGCGGTAGGATTTGCACCCAGCACTTGGGTTGGTTGTATTTCATATGGGGAGCAGAGCCCATACCTGGCCACAGAATTGATGTGCTCTGGGTGATCTGGTTTCATAGCCCACTGCCTTCTAGGGGTGATTGAAATGGTGTGGATGTGTATAACTGCTCCTGCTCTGGTTTTGTCCAGGGGAAAGCCTTTGGTGGATCCAGGACCAGGGCTGGTCATTTGTCCTTCTGGTTTTGTCCAGGGGAAAGCCTTTGGTGGATCCAGGACCAGGGCTGGTCATTTGTCCTATATATATTTTTCTGGATTGCTTATTCCACTTGTGTCCCAGAGGACCCCCCCACCCCCCAGGGATCCTCTGGTTGCCCACTAGATTGCACCAGGGAGGCTCCCATCTGAGAAGTAGAAGAGTGATGTTCAGACCCAGATTCACCAGGTACCAACCTGTCATGTGCCATCCTTTCTGTGGTGACCTTCTGGCTTTTGTTTTGTTTTTGAGACTGGGTCTTTCATAGCTCAGACTGGTCTTGAATTCCCTCTGTAGCCAGGGAAGACTTGGCATTTCTGATCCTCCTGGTTCCTCCTCTCCAGTGTTGGTACTACAGACGTACACCACCGTACCTGGTTCATGCACTATTGGGGGGTGAGCTCAGAGCTTCATACATGCTAGGAGAGGCCTCTACCAATAGAGCTGTATTTTGTACGTTTGGGAATGAACCCCAGCATCACCTGCATACCAAGAATACTTACACAGTGGCCAGGTGTTTGAAAAGATGATCACCCATTTTTCTGGTCCGTTGTTGATGGTGCAGGAGTGCTGCTTCTGCATCCTCCCCTTTCCCACCTCCCTTGGGCTTTTGCCATTTTAAACCCTGTGGAGAGGTCTGTCTTGACTGAATCCTCATCCTTCCAGCTGTGAAAGGGTGGCTCCTCTACCATTCAACACTTTGCTCTGTTTGCAGGTGGCTCTGTCAACCTTTGCTGTCTTCGTGACTGTAGATGAGAGAAATATCTTAGATGCAAAGAAGGCCTTCGTGTCCCTAGCCCTGTTCAATATCCTGCGCTTCCCACTCAACATCCTGCCCATGGTCATCAGCAGCATTGTGCAGGTGTGTATCAGACAGGGGGCCGGGAGGGTGACATGGGGGTTCCAAGAATCCTACCATGGTCAGCAGTAGCAGCCTGCAGATGTGTGGGGGACAGTGGGAACCAGAAGTGGGCACGGGAGCTGTCATCATTTTCTCATGGTCATTAGCAACATTGTATAGGCATGTGGGTGGCAAGGAAGTAGGAGGGGACATGTGCACTCCAACCCGTGGAATCCACAGATTCCTCAGTGCCATTTGGAGCCAAGCTGCCCCCCTGTGTGCAGCCTTGACTACGCTTTTCCACATTGCTCATGCTGCTGTGTCATAGAGGACTCAGTAGAGCCCTGTGCGTGGATCCACTTACTATCCCAGCATGGCTCCTCAGCAGTAAGGGGCTACTTGATTCTACTCCGAGGAAGAAACACATTTTCCTCTTTATCACAGAGTATCTGGTTTTATAGCCTAGGTCGCCCTAAAACTCCAGCCCAGATGGGAGGTATGGACTTCATAGCAATACTTCCCTTTTAATCTCAAAGAATCTTTCTGGAATAGTCTATATTCTTCTGGCCTCTCTAAGCTGGTGTTTTAAAAAACACAGGTCTCAGCCTGTTTCTCAATTTCATGTTTTGCTGATGAGTCCTGATGTGCTTGTTGAAAACTCTGAGGACCTCTCTTTCTGTTTCCATCCCTCCTTCCTGCTTTCATTCTTTCTGTACTGAAGGATTTTTAAGCAAACCTAGACCCTTTGTCCATATGCACTGCTGCATGTGTTGTCTTTCTGTAACTAGGACCCAGAACCCAGTAATGTGTTGAGGTCAAACTCAGTCTACCAGTGCAGAGGTGGCTACCTTCTAAATCCCATTGCACAAGGAAGCCCCTGCCCTTCATGTAGTGCTTTCTGTGGGCATCAAGTTTTATTCTAAGGCTGCACCAGGCTCAGGGTGGCAGGTGTCCCAGATGCTATCAAGGTGACACACCCTGTGTTTCTTCCTCAGGCCAGTGTGTCTCTCAAGCGTCTCAGGATCTTTCTGTCTCATGAGGAGCTGGAGCCAGACAGCATTGAGCGGTGGTCGATGAAGGATGGTAGGTGCCTGTCTTCTGCCTACTTTGGCTCCTTATCCTGGCCTTCCCAGGGCCTGACTCTGCCCAGCTTGCCTACAAGACCCAGGGTCCCACTTCTGTAGAGGGACAGAAAGGGGCTTCCCTGTTTATGTTGTCACCCCATGCTCCTGCAGTGTGAGTGACATTTTGGGCTTTTCAGCCCAGGGCTTGGTTCTGTCCTGGGCGAGGGATCACCCAGTTTCTGTTTCTGCCTAACTCTGTGTACTCAGAGTTTCTTTTTCCTCATCTGGATCTTGGGAGTAAAAGTGCTTTTCATTGAATGTTTTTAATTGATTGATTAATTTACTGTTGAGAATTGAACACAGGAGTTCACCTAGGCTAGGTGAGTGCTCTACCACTGAGCTGCAGCCTCAGCTCACTTTTGACTTTTGAGACATGGTCTATGTTGCTCAGGCTAGCCAAGCTTGGGATCTTTAGCCTCCTAAATAGCTGGGAGTCCAGGGCTATGCCACCAGGCCTAGGCAGTCATCCCAGATTTTTATCACTAGGTTTATTTCTTAGACTAGTTGATCCTTCTGACTGGCCCCTGAGCTGAGGTCTTGTTTGGGAGTCTCTCGGCAGTTTGCTGTCACTGTTAATGGTACCAGGAGAGGTGAGCCTTTTCTGACGTGGATGTTTAGTTAAAATATACCCTGTATCAAGGCCCTTGGAGCAGGAGCCGGGGTCAGGAAAGTTGCCTGAGGCCTCCAGAAGGGAAGTCCTTGGCTGAGGGGAGTCCCTGTCAGCCTTTGTTCTCAGGCCTCTCTGTGCATGTGCTTCCTACTGTAGGGGTCCAGTGTGGTGCCTCTAGCACAGCCCTGGCTCGCAGGAGGAAAGAGATCCACAGACACTGTCCAGCTAGGTAGTGGTAGCACTGGGGCTCAAACCTACACCTTCTGGCTCAGAGCCCCCAAAAACAGAATTGATGATAGTACCTGGGTATTGGTGATGAGGTGCAGATGTATGTTGTGCCAGGAGTCTCCTGTACCATTGTAGGATATTAGCAGTGATACGCAAGTCACAGCTCTGCTGTTCTGTGAGGGTAGTAGCTCCTCTCTGCTGCCCTTAGCAGGTTATCACACTGGGGGCCCCTTGGGGTTCACACTTCTTGTTGAGGACAGCCTTATGTCTGTGGATGGTGAGTAGTGCCCCTGGCATCTACCTACTATGTCTCATAGTCATCCCAGTGTGACAGCAAAAATGATCTTCAGGACCTTCCAAGTGTACCCTAGGAGGACAGCTGTTCCTTTTTGAGAACTACAGCCCAAGCAAATGCTGGAACTGTCTTCCACGTTTGTTTTGTTGTTGTTGTTGTTGTTGTTATTGTTCTCCTGAGGCTCTCTGGGTATGAGACCAGCAAAATAGACTCCAGAACCAAGGCAGCCACCCAGAGCTCCTAAAGCCAAGCTGTGCACAGTTCTCTGCAAGTGCCACTGAGCCGGAACCAGTGCTTTAATCACCTTGCAGCCCTGCGTGTCACGGTCTACTAACGCTCAGTTCGCTGGTGTACCTTGACTGCCACAGCTTCTGGCCAGTTCTTTGGAGTGACGTACCTAGCTTCCTCTTTTGTGAGGACACAGACTCAGCTTAGCATGCACCTTGATTTGAACCTTACCGCAGTGAGAAACAAGCGTTTTCTTCTTGGGGGAAGCTGTGCTTAATTTCATTTAGCTACAAACCTCTTTGCTATGGATTTAAAAATTAGAGACAGAAACAAAAGTAAAGCCAGGGGAAAGAAATGGAGTAGGGTAGGAGTCTCAGGAGTTTGGACCTTATCATGTGGGCATTGGCCAAATTCCTGTCCTCGTCCCCTTCCTGCAGCATGTCCTGTTTCCTAGCAGCCTTCCAGTGGATGCTGGCTTTGGTTGATTGTCACTGACACTATAGACACATTGATCTGCTGGGAGGTAGGCAGGGTAGAATGGCTATAGGAAGGGAGCAGAGAGGGAAGATGTCTTAGGATCCAAGAGTTGAGGGAAAAGACCCTAGTTTTAGACTAGAGGACAGTGTGAGGAGGGTGTGATGGTACTTACCCTGGTGGACAGGGGTTTATATGGGGCTGCAACTTTTTCTCTTTGACCTTGGTTCATGCTCAGCTTTCCCAGCCTGAGAAATGTGAGGATGTCCCCAAGCACTGAGTAACCAGTTAGGTTCTTCAGCCTCGACAGAGAACCAGGATAGGGCATCTGCATGTGCACCTGTTGACTCCTGACATGTTGTCCCTAATGTTTTCCAGGTGGAAGAATGAATAGCATCACTGTGAAGAATGCGACCTTCACTTGGGCCAGGGGTGAACCTCCCACACTGAATGGGTAAGCCTGGGAGGTGGGTACACTGACACTGGTTCTAAATACTCTTCACCTCTGTGACCCCACCCTTTGCCTTTTAGAGCCTCAGTTTACCCATCTGGAATAAGGTCTAATCACAACTGCTGAGGTAGAAGCTGCTTGGTATAGATGTCCCTTCTGATTGCGACAGGAAGTCATGCTCCTGGGCCACGAGGGGGTTTGGGTTTGGGGCATTGAGAAGGTCTGTTTTCAGGTAAAGCATGATCCAGGGTCTCTGCAGGAGCTCTGCTGTCACTATGATCCAGTCTCCTTAGGAAATCCAAAACACAAGGCCAGTGGAACCTGGTTTTTGGAACCAGATTTGTCATTTGTACCCCTAAGCAATTATTCCCTGACATGGCAGCTTGCCTGTTGTATTTTATCAAGCACAGTACAGACTCTTCAGAGAAAGGGGTCTCTCCCTTTCTGCTTCCACTCACTACTCTGAGTGTAAAGGTCTTTCTTAGGCTAACTTAAATCCTGCCTCCTTTATCTGTAACTCCTTTCTCTTTCCTGTGCCAACACTCCGCTGCCCACATCCTTCTGTCATGCAGGGTTCCTGGTCTTTTGACCTGCCACTTGGAATCTCCAGTTCTTTCTATTTAACCTTTGACTTCCCTTAGCCTGTTAGACTATCCTGGTCTCCCCTAGAAGAAGGGAAGAACTGCTTCCCTGGATGTTCTGCCCAGGGTGGTACCTCACAAGGGCAGCACAAAAGACTCAACAGCAGTGAGTGTTTCAGGGACTAGGGAGGAGATTCAATAAGTAAAGATCTGAATGTGAACCCTGTGACAAGAGCTAAGCACAGTGACACTGCGTAATCCCAGCACTGGGGAAGCAGAAATAGGAAGATTCTTGTGGCTCAATAGCCTGTTTGGTGAGTTCTCGGCCAGTGACAGATGCGTCTTTAAAAAAACAAGGTGGATGGTACCTGAGAAATGACACCTGAGTTTGCCCTTTACCTTGCACTCATATGTGCATACACAGAAGAATCAAACAGTTGATCCATGTAGTTAGCCAGCTTTGAAACCAGTATCCAGGGAAGGGACCCTGCTTAGGGTCCTGGGATGCCTGTGTGGCTGATTTGGGCACTGAGACCAGTGTGTTGAGCTGTCAGCTGCAGGAACAGCAGTGCCATACATGGTAACAAACTACTGTGGTTGTAGAGCCTACAGCTCTGTTTTCTCCTCCTCTTCTTCCTCCTCCTCTTCCTCCTCCTCCTCCTCCTCTTCTTCCTCCTCCTCTTCCTCCTCCTCCTTCTTTCTTTTTTTGAGACAAAGTCTTACTATGTTGTCTGGACTAGCTTGTAACTCGTACAGACCATGCTGGCCTGAAACTTACATAGATTCACTAGCTTCTGTCTCCTGTCTCCTGAGTGGTGGAATTAAAGTTGTGTACCACCACTTCTATTTGTTAGCAGGCCATTTCAAAGTTGAGTATGGTGGTGTACACCTGTAATCTCAGCACTTGGGAGGCAGAGGCAGGGGAACAGGAATGGTGGTAGATCAACCTTGCTTACATAGTGAGTTGGCAGCCAGCCTGGGCTATGTGAAACCTTACTTGGGGTTGGGGTGGAAGGTTCTGGGGAGATGGCTTAGTCAATAAAGTGCTTGCTGTGCGAGATGAGGACCTGGATGTAGCAGTTTGTACTTGATCCCTGGAACTTACTGCCTAACCATCCTGGTATATTTGAAATCCTCCAAGCTAGTGATAGACCTTTACTCAAAAAAGTACAAGATAGACAGAGCCTGAGGAATAGTGTTGACCTCTGGCCAACATAAGTATACACACATGCACACACAAACATAAAGACCACAGTTGGTAAGATCATTCTGGAACTCAGCTCTGGTCTCTTTGTGCAGCCCCTCAGTCTCTTGAATCTTTTTCCAGACCTGGCCTGTTACCCTGGTCTTCTATCTTCTGGACTTTCTAAGCCAGTTCCAGGTACCTGAGAACTTGAGTTGACCTGGAGGTGGCTTGTCATTGGGGACAAAGTGTTATGGAACCAGAGAGGTGAATATTTTCTATCAGTCCTCTTGGGTGACATGTTAACCCCTGGGCTCTATGCTGGCCAGGCTTGTGATGCATTTACATTGGGCCCCTGAGGCCATGGCCACCCCTTGGGCCCACAGCCTTGAAGGTCTTCAGGCACTGACTAGCACAGCCAGAGGCCATGGGCCACTCTCAGCAGGGAGGGTATAGGACATCGTGCCATCTCAGGCTTCTCATTGTGTCCTTGCAGCATCACCTTCTCCATTCCTGAAGGAGCTCTTGTGGCCGTGGTGGGCCAGGTAGGCTGCGGGAAGTCATCTCTGCTGTCAGCCCTGCTGGCTGAGATGGACAAGGTGGAAGGACATGTGACTCTCAAGGTAGGATGGAGGCCAGGATGGGGAGAGATGGCCTGGGAGGAAGGCTCAGCCCAGTGTCTCTCACAAACTGTCAAAAGAAGCAGCCCCTCCCTTCTGCCATCCCCGGTCTCTCTCTGCTCGTCTAGGAAGGCAGCGTTTCAGTGACAGCCCCTTCTTTCTTTGCCCAGTGCTTTGGCTACTGTGATAGCTGCTCAGTAAACAGGCTGTGAATGTGTAGATGGACTGCCAAGGAGTGGTCATTCATGCCCCTGCCTTCCTTCTGAATGTGGCTTACTGCACTTCACATGATGTCCAGTCCCAGTCACTTTCTGGCTGTGCGTGTGCGTGTGATGAAAGCAGAAAGGGCTATTTGAGGGAGGAAGAAACCAAGAAAGGGAGGGGCACAGTTGTGAACATGACCAAAATACAATGATCTATCTGCCTGAAAATGTAGGAACAGAAGGAAGGAGTGGTGAAGTCTCTGGAGGATATTCCAGCCCCGCCTCAAGGGGGACCTTCCAATCCCCAGTCTCACTTCATCCTTAGTCTCTATGGATAGAGCCTCTGGCTTCTTCTTTCTCTTGAATCTTGTAAACAGGGAATAACTTCAGTACTGATTTATGTGGCTGGAATCATCTAATCTCAGAACCTGGTATAAGAAACACGTTTTAAATCCTTACCATTACTTGAATTCTTAATACCAGCCTAGAGGGAAAGTGTGTGGATTTAGCAATTCAAGGTCCAGGATGCTCTGAGCTGAGCTAAACTTTCTGTGAGTAGAAGGCTGTTGTGAAAAATCAGTCCCTTGGGGCTTTTCTCTATGTACTCTATTCCCTCGGAAGCCTTTGCCTGCTATGTAAATAAACTCCAAAGTGTCCCCAGCAGCCTCTGGAGCAGCTGGAGATAAAAACAGCAAAACAAAACCCCAACTATTTTACTTCAGCCAGCTTGTGCCAAGTGTGTGTACCTGGACCTGCCTGTCAGAAGTAAGTGGACAGCATCTGGATCCAGGCAAATGCCTGTTGCTTCAGGATGTGTCCCTTTATTTCTTCCAAGCAGTGGGTGGACAACCTGCCCAAGGTTGACAAAGGGAAATTGCTTGCCATTAGATCCATGCTGTAGTCTGTTTCACAGTTCCTGGCTTCCTACCATCCCAGGCACTCGTGTTCTGTGTCCGAGAACTGTTTATAGCTGGTGATTTCAGAAAGTACATTGAAAACGTTAGTTTTCCCCAGTGTCTTGGTAGACTGGTCTGTGGCTGAATATCTTGTGAGCCTTACAATTGAGGTGTCCTGACATTTGAGGCTAATAGAAACTGGAATGTTTAAGTAGCAATTGAGTCTTTTTCCTGAGATTTTAGATACAAAGCTAACTGATTTCTATTTCCTTAGTTTAGAATCCTTTGTAGCTTTCTGTCACCTTTTTTTGATAAAGGTGGGCATGACACTAGCCGAGTGTGAACTGGTCCATGATACTTGCTTTCCTGCCTGTCCTACCCTTCCATGAGTTGCCCTTGTACAGTCAAGCTGGCCTTTCTGTCCCTTGAAGGACACTTGAACAACACTTGTCTGTGTTGTTCCAGTCGATCAGTGACCTTCTCTGTTCTTGTCCTGGCTGTGTATTTTGGGCAGTTAGTTCTTTTCACAGACAGGTGTCTGGTGTTGTCTTGTTTATCAAGTCTGTCTGTCTTTCCTTTCCACTACCTGCCACACAGGGCTCCGTGGCCTATGTGCCTCAGCAGGCCTGGATTCAGAATGACTCTCTCCGAGAGAACATACTGTTTGGGCACCCCCTACAGGAAAATTACTACAAGGCAGTGATGGAAGCCTGTGCCCTTATTCCAGATTTGGAAATCCTGCCCAGCGGGGACCGCACAGAGATTGGTGAGAAGGTGAGTGTGGCATGGGTACAGCAGCAGTAACTGCTACTGCTGTGTAACAAACAGGTGTACACTTTGTCAGGGCCTTTCCCACAACTGACCTTCTGTAAGTGGATTGTCAGGGATCTGCTGTTTATAACCTGTGGCTATGCTCCTTTTGTCAAGCTGGACGGTTGGTGAGGGTCTATACCATATGTCTCTTGGTGCTGTGGTCTTAGTTGAGGTGTCAGTGGTGATCTAAGTGGGAGCCTCTCACATGGTGATGTAGAATCTAAGAGAATAAAAACCAAAGGTCTGCTGTGCTTTGCCACATACTGTGCCACTCACTGGACAAGACAGCAGAAGTGACCTCCCTTGTCAGTCTTACAGTGTACCCAGGGGATGTGTGTGCGAGCGATGATGGAGGCAGCTCTAGACTAGCTGGCACCCGCGTCTTCACTCTGCTGCCATACTAACACTTTTAACCTAAGTCTAATGGCACTAGGTGCCATTCATGAGAGGGGTTTACTTTGATCCCTAATGCATCACTAAGGAAAGGGAAGCTCAGGGAGGCTAGAGGACTTGCCTGATGTAAAGTCACGTGGGAAAGAGACTCTCAAGGCCCTCCCGTTACCTGTTCCACTGCCACTTTTGAAGAGGGCCTTCTATGTGCCTCTCAGCCCATTTGCTCCAGTGCAAGTGATTGTCTTGTGTGTGTGCTGGAAGTGCAACCACCCACAGTGACAGGGACCTCTTGGGAGAGCTGAGTTTGTCTGACCCTTGTCTGTAGCCAAGGATCCTCTCAGTAACTTGCTTTTTGATGCATGGTGTCTTTTACTTGGCATGGACCTGGAGATGCTTTGGGTTGGCTAGGACCCTTGTTTATACAGGTTGGAGATGCCAAACAAACTGAAGGGTCTAAGTATTATGTGGGATCCCAGGCAAGAGTGCCAGGGTCTTCAGAACAGGCTGGGGTGGTTGGCAGCCTGCTTGTCAACCCTATCTTGTGTTTTTAATGCTGGGATCTAGTACTTGTAGGTCCTTTCAAGTCTCAGTATCAGAGTTTGGAGGGAGTCAAAGATTGGCTGGTTTCATGTACTGCATCTACTCCAGGTTAATAAGCTGGGACCAAAGGGACCTTTTTTTTTTTTTAGCTGGGCCTATCATCCCAGAATGCAGGAAGCTGAGGCAAGAGAATCATGAGTTTGAGGCAACCTTGAAAGCTTAGGCCACCTATAAGATCCCATCTCAAAATAAAATACTAAAAATGGATAGCAGTGTGGCTTAGTGGCAGAATACTTGTTTAATATGGGCAAAGGCCCTGAGCCCCATCCCTAGCAGTCCCAAATATGTGTGTGTGTGTGTGTATGTGTGTGTGTGTATGGGAGCTGGCTACTAGGGTCAGCCTTGGCACAGATTGGGACCGTTTACTCAATAGGTGTCATTGGGCATTTGAGCTGTTACATGACCACAATGTTGGTCACTTGTTGTTGGGAGTGGGTTGCTGTTACTCAGTGCTGAACCCTACTTCTGTGAGTGAAGTGTCCTAGGTGCCACTAGCTTTACTATGTGACTTTAATAGGAATGGTAGCTCAGAGTGAAGCTCACCACAGAACACTAACAACAACAGTAGCTATGTCAGCTATAGCTTAATAATATAATAGGTATACAAATAATAATATATCTGCCATCCATACTGTGTCTTCTATAGACTCTTCTATAGGCTGATGAATGTCAAGATCATCAGCTGCCACCTCCTCCTCTTTCTTGTGGCACTATAGACCTCGGTATAGGCTGGGCACATGTTCTGTAACTGAGCTGCTCCCCCAGCCATCCTTTTACTTTTCAGTTGAGATGTCACTCAGGCTGACTTTGAACTTGCCATCTTCCTGCCTCTCAGCCTCTGAGCAGCTGGGCTGATAGACGTGCCAGCAGGCCTGACTGTCTACTTCCCTTCCCTGAATACTTGCTGGGGGTCAGGTGCTCCAGTCAGCAGCTCTTCTGTCCCCGTTCTTGTTTTGTATGGTTCTAGAGTCCTGAGGATCCCAAGAAACCCATTCTCCCCACTGTCTTCCTAGGGTGTGAACCTGTCAGGGGGCCAGAAGCAGCGTGTGAGCCTGGCCCGGGCTGTGTACTGTAACTCTGACATCTACCTCTTTGACGACCCCCTCTCGGCTGTGGATGCGCATGTTGGGAAGCACATCTTTGAGAAGGTGGTTGGTCCCATGGGCCTACTGAAGAACAAGGTATTCTCCCAGGGCCAGATTGGCAGTGTGGCCTTGGACAAGTCTTTGATTCTTGGGCTTGCTTTCATGCTTCGTGTGTGTGTGTGTGTGTGTGTGTGTGTGTGTACGCACAGTATGTATATACTAGTGTGCATATACATATATGTAAGTATACAGGTAGAAGGCAGAAGTCAATCATGGGTGTCCTTACTCTTACTCATGGTACCATCATCTTGTTCTTTGAGACAAGATCTCTTCCTGAACCTAGGACTCATTGATTAAAACTCTGCTGACCCTCCTGTCTCTTGCCTCCCTGGCAGCAGCATTATAGGGGTGTGCCACCATGTCTGATTTTTTTCACATGGGTTCTGGGGATCAAACTTAGATCCTTGTATGGCAAGCATTTTATGAACTGAGCCATCTGCCAGCTCCCCAAAGATGAGTATCTTACCAAGTCTTTATAAAGTGAGTTGTTGGTTCCATATGAATTGATTGCCTCGCTGGTTAAAGGACATTTCTTCTTCATGAGGCCACCCAGACCTTCAGTAAGGCTGTTGTTCCTCCTCCATGATAGGCAGGGCTGAGGCTAAGGGTAGAGCCTGGGATAGGAAGATGGCTCAGCCAGCCTTAGCCAGGGACGAAACAGGCTGTGGTCCTGGGATTTGTTTTGTTTTTTAGAGTGGTAGAGGAACATACTGGCTCTTGTCTCCTAATTATAAAGTAGCAGCCATGTGTGTGTGTAAGAAGGAATGCTATGGTTTAAAAAAAAAACCCAACAAACGCAAAGCAAGTATTCCTACCCTTTCCCTTAGAGATGGTATACTGTGTGTATCAACTTTTAAACCATGACCATACCACCTAGCTCTTCAAGAAGAGATTGGTTGTCATCTGTTGATAGTCTGATGGTTTTGCTTAGCATGGCAAACAAGCAGAACTGTGCAGCATAGACCAGTTTTGTGGTCTGTTTGAGCTGGAAGGATAGGGGAAGTTCCTGTCTAAAACATAAGCATCAGCGTTAGGCATGGCGATGTGTACTCGTTAGCCCAGCACTGAAGAGGCTGAGATGGAAAAGTTAGGCTAGCCTGGCCTATACAGCAAGAACTTACCTAAAAAGACAAGGGCTAGGGATGTAGCCTTGTGGTAGTTTGCCTCCCTAGTGTGCAGAGGCTTTGATTTTAGTCCCCAGTACTGCAAACACACAGTGGGCTGTGTAATAGAGGTAGTGTGGTGGCTTCACTATCCCCTCATACACACTCTTGGTAGTTTCTATCTCCCTCTTAGAGTTTCCTTCCTAAATAGTCTTCCCAACTCACCATAACCATTCCCTCTGCATTGCCCTTCCCTTCCCCTGATACTGCTTCTATGCCTGTGGTTCATTTTGTCTCTATCCCTTGAGACCAGGCAGGGCTCTTTGTCCCCTGCTGCTCCTACCTGATACAGGGTGGGTCCTGCTGAGAGAGAGAGAGAGAGAGAGAGAGAGAGAGAGAGAGAGAGAGAGAGAGAGAGAGAGAGAATGAATGAATATATGAATGAGTGTGTTCACAGCCTTTGGACCTGAGCCATGCCCTGAGATACTCGTAATCTCAGTAGGGCTGTGACAGTGTCTCCTCCATGGTGCTGATGGGGCCAGGTCTATGTTTTACCCATAGACACGGATCCTGGTCACCCACGGTATCAGCTACCTGCCCCAAGTGGATGTCATCATTGTCATGAGTGGCGGCAAGATCTCAGAGATGGGTTCTTATCAGGAGCTGCTAGACCGGGATGGGGCCTTCGCTGAGTTCCTGCGCACCTATGCCAACGCTGAGCAGGACCTGGCCTCGCAGGATGACAGTAAGAATGGTAGGGAACTTACAGGAGCTGGCCCTGATCATCATAGCTGCTTATGGGAGGGTCTTACCTGCGCTCTAGGAGTGCAGTTCATGAGGGTATTGGATGATAAGGACATCTGGCTTTTGGAGACCAATAGGTAGGTCAACTTAACCTTGCAGATCAAGTAGAGAGGGTTCTCAGCACTTGACACCCAAGTACCACAAGGTCAGGTTTTGGTTTTGTGACTTTAAGATGAGTCTCCATTCTTCCTCCTGTGAGCTTTCAGTTCTTCAATGGCTAAAACGGGGACAATAATATATTTTCTCTATTCCTAAGGGGGCTGAGTACTAGTGACAGCCATGGTGTAGCTTAGGATGCTGAGGCTTATAGAACATGGCTTAATTCGGACAGTGAACACTCATGGTGGCCATATTCCTCAGAGCTTTGTGGCCTGGAGCCCTTCCTTGAGACTGTCTGACCTGTGTCTGTCTCCACCCTCACCCCTACCAGCAAAGAACAATGTGACATCAGGGACAGCCTGGCATGTGGTGGTGATTAGTGTGATCTTGGGCATCTGAGATGTTCTGAGTGCTTGATAGCCATAGCTGTACTGTTCCTCTGACACAGAACACCACAGACCAGACCTCACCTACTGCCTTACCTACTGTCCTGGGGTTCTGCTGTTGGCTTGAATTTTAGATACTAGTTGAATCTGTCCCTGCACACCTTGTTGCTGGGGGACTTAAGAAGCAAATGCCAGGCTCCAGTAGCCTGGGTCCCTCAATCAGTGGCTGGTGAGTCGGGAACTATTCTGCAGCCTTCTCAGGTAGCCTCTTTTTCTATTAGTCACATAAGCTCTCCTCAGAGGACCCCTCTGGTTACCTGCATCTTGGGAGCAGTGGCTTCAGTTGACATGTACAGAGATGAATCCAGGCAGCATCTGCTTTGCAGCCCACAGGGACACCCCTTTGGTCTGGGCATCCTGCTTTAGTTACAGCTATTGTAAAATGTCTGAAACTTGTTTGACAGCTTCCCACCTAGCTATAGCCTCTCTGGGACCTGTCTGTTATCCAACATGTCCCCAGACAGATCTCAGGTAGATGGCCCTCAGATGGAGCTACAAGGCCACTCCCATTACACAGTCCCAGAAGTAAAACTCTCATCAAAGTCAGTGAATGGAGACCCTGCAAGTGGCCGCCTACAGTCTCAAGGATTGGCCTGTGAGCTTGGTGTCACTAAAAAAAAAAAAAGCTGTTTGCTGTCCACTTACCTGGGCATTTGAGCATTTATGAAGCACCTGCTGTATATGAAGTACTTACGCTTTCTTAGCCCATATTGTATCCTCTCTACTGAAAGCAATTCCTGTGTCAGAGCTTTGAGGGTGGGAGTTGGCTGTAGAGTGCGGACTGTGCTGTGCTCAGGCCTCTCTGTTTATCTTCATGTCCTTCACTTTTCCATCCACCCGATCCTCCTGCCAATGCTGGGATTACAGGCATGCACCACCATGCCTGGCTCACAGCCACCTCTTTGTGAAGAAAACAGTGAAGTGGAAGTTGGGTCACCTGACTGCAGGGATTAATAATCTTTCTGAAGATTCTGGCTCAAGACAGTGTAACAGTCTCTGGGGGTGAGGTCTTCATTATGGCGTTCATTATAAGGGGACACATACAGTTTAGGTTTGGCGACAAAAATAACATGAAAATCCCCCTCCTAGTGGACCTTAAAAATATAGAAAATGTAGAAGTAGAAGACAGATTCATCAGACCAGGGATTCAGCATAGGCATTAGGAGCCTGAGTCGATGCTAGGCATGGGGAGGAGGCAGCCCAGTGACTATGTAGGCATATGCAAAGGCCTCAGGACCAACTTGTTGTAAGAAATGAATAGGAGGCTACAGTGGTCAGGTCAGGCTAGCCATTGAATCAGGGTAGGAGATAGGAAATGAGACAGTGAGGTGGTCACCCAGAAGGAGTCAGTTTGAATTTCAGTCTAAATTTAGTAGGGAACTCTTACTATTTTTTTTTGTTTGTTTTAAGAGTATGTGTATGTGTGTGAATATGAGTACACTGTGTGCAGGTGCCTTCGGAGACCAGAGGGAGTCAGTTCTCTGGAACTGGAGTAATAGACAGTCGTGAGCTGCCTTGTAGGTGCTGAGAATCAAACCCTGGTCCTCTGCAAGATTATCAAGTACTCTTAACTGCCACACCACCTCTCCTGGCCAAGTGGGGAAACCCTTGAATGTCAGAGAAGAGACATCTGTCCAAGGGCACAGAGTGGCTGGCAGTAGGGCAGGTCTCACGTTTGGTCTCATGTTGGGATTGGGGCCCATTTCCGTGTCAGCTTTAGGGTGTTACCAGTGGCTCCTAGAGGCCTTTTTTCCCCCAGTAGGGGACAGGACTGCTTGAGGTTGCAAAAGGGTCTCACTCTGTAGTCTTGGATGACTTTCTCTGTAAATCAGGTGGGCCTTAAATTCAAAAAGACCCACCTTCAAAGTGGTAGGATTAAAGACATGTTCCACTATACCCAGCTTATCGTTTTAATAGAGGTCTTATTAAGATGCCAGGATCATAGGCACCTCTAATCACAGCACTTGGGAGGCTAAGGCAGGTAGATCACTAGGAGTTTGAGACAAAAGTTTTATTGAGCTGGAATTCAAATACCAACTTTATGTCCATTGGATTTGTGTCAACTGGTGTTTGTTAACATACTGTCTTGTAGCCACAATGATTAACTTTAGAACACTGGTCACTTCAAAGGAAAACCAAGAGTCCCCATCCCTTTGTAGGCACTCCTGTAATCCAGTCTGTTCTGAGCTTTTCGTGCCTGCAGTGTGATGTTTTCTGGCTGAGCCAAGCCTCACGTTCTCAAGGCTTGTCTGCATTGTAGCCATAGCTCCTCCCATGGCTGCATAATTTTCCATTGTGCTGCACTGTATTATAGACTTCGAGCTTGCTCACCCATGGTGGTGGGGACACAGATTGCTTCTGCTTGTTGGCTGTTGCTGATTAGTCTTCTGCTCTCTAACGTTCTGAAAGAAAAGCTACAGTACTGCAATCCCAGCAGCTTGGAGGCTGAGGGAGGACTCTGAGTTTGAGGTTAGTGTGTGCTGGAGTAAGGCTGTGTCTTGAGGAGGAGGAGGAGCTGTGTCTTATTTTTTGCCTGTGTGACAGCCAGCATTCTTGTTAGCTTTCCTATCTGATTGGAATGAGTTTTTCCCACTTGTTCATGGCCTTATCATTACAGAGGTCCTTCTCTAAGTCTGGCCTATTTGTTCTCAGGCAGAACTATCCTTCTCTCTTAGTTCAAGTGATGAATTGTGGGAATCTTCTCTGATACTGTATTTCACCGCACCATTTCTAACTCAATGGGTAAGGGTATTCTTGAAACCCTGTTAGTGAAGGAAGTCTGTCTGTCTCTCTTCTTGCCTCCAAAGGCCCTTTGTATACAATATGGAGGACTGTGTGTCTTTTAGTTGCCTTTTTTATATTAAAAAATAGTTCTTGTTTATTCATTGTGTGTGTGTGTGCGCGCGTGCGTGTGTGCGTGTGTGACACTCAGAGAACAACTTGTAGGGATTCAAACTCAGATCTTCAGGCTTGGCAGCAAGCACTTTTTTTTCACTAAACCCCCCTCCTTAACCCCAGTTGCTTATTTTCTATGCATGTCACTTTATTCGGCAGTGAAAATACCTCCTTCTCAGCCCAGTGGTGGGTTCATTTCCCCTAGATCAGCCACCCAGTCTCCTGCCAGGTGTGATGTGGACTTGTCTCACCCAGCCCAGGCAGGAGGATCACAGGTTTGAAGACAGCCTAGGCCTTCTGTTTCTTGTCCTGGGAAACCCAGAAGCTCCCCACTTCCTGGCCATCATCTTAAGCAGCAGATGCAGAGAGCTCCTCCTGCAAGGCACAGTTCCCTCAGCAGCTGCCTGTCTTCCGCACCCCTGGAGATGCTGGGAATGATGCTGGAGGTGCTGAAATCATACAGCTCTGTTTGGGGGCAAAACCAGTGAGGGATCCACTAAGAGGGAGTGGAGTGGTCCCCTCAAAGGAGGCTAGCTCACGGAACCCAGGAGGACTCCTGGAGCCTTCGTGAATACAGGAACTATTGGTGACTGTTTGGTGCCTGCTTGAGGGCGGCAGGTGAGCACAGCCAGGCAGTGCATCTGCGGTGTGGGGAGGGGACAGTGCCTGGCTTGTAGAGTCAGTAACAATGACTTAGTGTGCTAGGAGAGACTCCAGGGATATTCTGTGACTTTCATGTGTTAATGTGTTCATTTTTAAAGTACTGGTAAAGGACTGGGGCTGTAGTTGAGTGGGCAAGCGTGTTTGCTTTGATGAGATCTGAGTTAGACTCCACATCACCACTTGTGCGTCTGTCAGAGATCCCTTTACGAATAGAGCTATAAAAACATGTGACTAGAAGAGCCACGCTTGTTTGCCCATCTCTCTCAGGCTTTGTGGCAAACATTGTACATAGACTCTGAGGGCAAGATGTGGCTACTGTAGCCCCTAGAGGCATTGGACAGTCAGTTCCACCTCGTCGCTGGTGGTCACTTGTCAGTCATCTCCATCTCTCGTCAGAGGTGTGCGAAGTGTCAGCTATATTGAATAGTTCCCCTTTCCTGTGTTGTCCTGGTATATGTGGTGCACCAGGAGCTGGGAGTAGAATGGCAGGTAAAACCTAGTGTGTGTTCTAGACTCTGTTTGGAGAGACAGATTACCAAGAATGTCATGGTGCTACCTGCATCAGTGACAGAGACTGAGGGACAAGGAACAGCATTCCAGAGAAAAGGTCCCACATTGCCCTGAAGAAGTGTCCAGGACAAATCTGAGCTGAGTGGCCTTGTCTCACCTTTGTGTTGATCCTCATGCAGCTGGCCCAGTGGTAGGGTTTGTGGGTGAAGGATTCACCCACCTCCTACTGTCACTCCTTCCTGAGTCTGTAGTCTGTCATCCTTCCCCAACTGTAGCTTTTTCCAGGCTCATCCCCACAACAGTGTGGGGATGGAACTCGGAGATTTGCTCGCGCCAAGCCAATGCTCTGAGAGCTACACCAACCCTCCTTTTTCTTCTTTATTGCCCATGCTGGAGACCAAATCCAGACCCTGGTGCAGGTTGGGCAAAACCTGTAACTGAGCTGTATCCCCAGCCCTCTTTTTCCTTTTCATGTTGAGATGTTGCCCAGGCTGGCTTTGAACTTGCTATCCTCTTGACTCAGTCTTAAGAGTAGTTGGAACTGTAGGTCTATGCACCTTGCTTGGCTTTGCTGCTTTCTTGATGAGTAAGCATAATTGGAGCTTTTGGAGAAAGGTTTTAGTCAGGGCTCCACTCAGCCCAGATGGGGTGGGGAACCTGAAACCCAGTGTACTTCTCCAGTCTCCCGGGTGAGGTAAGTAGAAGCACAGAGAAGGCATTGCCTATGGCTCTCAACATTTTCCCAGATCTCATGACTTCCAGGCAGTGAAGTGGTAGCTGAGGAAGGTCATTAGCATCTGGCTGTGGTGCTGGGCTGTAGGCATCTTGAGACAGTCACTGTTGCTGGATGCTTGGTGGGAATCTGGGATGCACTAATTTCGTTTTGAGGCTTTGTGGGTGACTCTGGGATGTATTCCCAGATCCAAGCTTGCTCATCTCCCAGGTCAAGTGACCCTGGACAGCATACTTCTCAGAGGTCATGGTGGGAGATGTTGAGCACATAGGAGAAAGATAGGGAAACGACAGAGTTCAAAAGCTGTTTAATACATCCCTGGGCATGAAGGATGACACAGGTGACTTTGGGAGTGGAGGAGGAGTGTTATGGTTTGTATGTGCTTGGTCCAGGAAGTGGCACTATCAGTAGGTGTGGCCCTGTTGGAGTAGGTGTGTCACTGTGGATGTGGGCAATGAGAACCTCATCCTAGCTGCCTGGAAGGCAAGATTCTGCTAGCAGCCTTCAGATCGTCATGCAGAACTCTCAGTTCCTCCTGAACCATGGCTGCTTGGATGTTGCCATGTTCCCACCTTGATGATAATGGACTGAACCTCTGAACCTGTAAGCCAGCCCCAATTAAATGTTGTCCTTTTAAGGTTTGCCTTGGTCATGGTATCTGTTCACAGCAGTAAAACCCTAACTAAGACATTGAGTATACTGCAGCAAAATCTGATAGCTGTACTGGGGCCCACTCTCTCTTATATGCAACAGTGTGGGGTTGAGGTTCAGATCAGGGGGTCTTAGACAGGCAACAAAACCTACTCAACTGGTTTATTTTAAACAAAGACTTGTATAGCTAACCAGTTAGTCAGAGACCTAGAGATGGAGTGGAACTGAGGCCTCTAGGCAAAGGCTGCTAGGACAGAGGAACGGAGTGATCCTTGGTCTTATGACCACTGACAGTCATAAGGGTCTCAAGAAAGAGATTCTGACAAGCACTGCCTGGACAAGGGAACACCGGGTAACAGAGAGAGGTGAGCAAGATCTCAGATTCCTTCTTGCACAGTTGTGCAGTAAGAAGATCCAGGTGCACCATCAGCCCACGGACACTTGGTAGGTGGAGAAGGAGCCACCACAGAAGTTCCTCTGGAGCCACTGAGGCAGGGGTGGGATGGATAGGGGGTGTATCATGCATGATTGTACGTGCTTATCTGGGAAGTTTTGCTTATTATCCTTCACCCTAATAACATGGCTACTTTGGGGTTTGTGGCTTTCAAAAGACCAAAAAAGCAAGAAGCTTTTGAGTGGGCTGGGCTATGGAGATAAAAGTGAGTCAGGCTCTGCCTTAAAAGCATGAGGACCTGATTCTGATTCCCAGGACCCACGTAAAACATCAGGTATGGAGTGTGCTTATAAACTCAGCACTAGGCAAGCGGAGATAGGCAGATCCTGGGTCTCACTGGCCAGACAGTCTTTCCTAGTCACTGACTTCAGGATGGAGGAGACCCTGTCTCAGAATTCAAGATGCCCAGAACCCGAGAAATAGTGCTGAGATGTTGTAACCTCTGTCCATGTGCATACACACAGAAATGTGTTGATGTATTTTTTAAATTATTTTATTGGGTTCTAATGCCTCTACCTCCCAACCTTTATTTTTATCCTAATTTCTTCCAACCCCTCAACATTAGGTAGGAGAGAAAGAGGGGAAAGAGGGCCTAGACCTCTAAAGGCTACTTCCTGCTGATTGGGAACAAGTTCCATCTTTGTTGTCAGAATATCCAATAGTTTAGCAAACCAGCAATTTAGCAATCTATCAATAGCAAACATAACAGCAGTGGGGCAGGTGTGTGTGTGTGTGTGTGTGTGTGTGTGTGTGTGTGTGAGCTGCGACAGCAGCAACTGCTGCCTCCTTAGGAGCCCCTCTCACCCCTCTTGGGGCTCTAGCATTTATTCCCTTTCCAGAGCCCCTATCTGCAGCTGACAAAAATTATGCCCCTCCTAGAGCACAAGACAGTCATTGTTAATGGCTGTGGACAAACTGAAGCAGCCCCATATCTTACACCTGGGATTAAAACAAAGTATTCATAGAACGTAACAAGGTTTTTAAAGAAGCCAAAACTCTTAATACAGACATGTATGCTCACAAGATAACATACTAAAATACAGACACTGATGTACAGGCATGTGTACTTAGAAGATGACATAACAGAATAGACATAGACATTGATGTTCGAGGCCATGTTTAAAGCCGTGAGTCTCATCCTAGCCAGGCCCAGAATTACCTGGAATACATTTACACATGTTCATACAAGCAGAACCTTGTGATGTCGCCTCGGCTTCATATGAGGGCCAGCTGCATTCCCATTTAGAGGCTTTTGCGTTTCCCCAGGGCACACAGCTAAGTGAAAGCTCAGTCCCACAGTCCTGGGTTCCTGACTGCTGGAACTGAGTTCCTGTCGGGATCCAGGTAGGATCCTGCTGTATCTGCTCATTTACAGAGCCACTCCCACCTCAGAATGATTCTTTGTTAGCTCAGACTAAGTTAGATTGAAGCCCTACCCCAGCCCAAGATCTATCCTGGGCCCCTCATCCCTCTAGCCTACCTGTAGCTCACAGGACTGTCGTGAGGGAGCCTAGCTCTGCATTTTGTGTTGGTCTGTGAGTCCTTCTTTTGAGTCCCCAGCTGTTATTTGTGAGCAGCCTTTGTCTCTGTCTTCTGTTAGTATGAAAAAAGTGGAGGAGGCAGTGTAGGGTGGGAATCCTGATTAGTGGCTGTTGAGTGGGAGGCACAGTGGTGCCCCTAATCACTATCAAGTGTCACTGAGTTCTGATCTTGTTGACACCTGGTAGAGCCTTCTGGGATTAGGGCAGGCATCTAGAAGCTGACCCCTGTGCGGTCTCACCAGTTGTTCAAACATCAAAACCCTCTTCCTAGAGACATGGGTATTGTATCAGGCCTGCCTTCCCAGGCTCTGGGCATCTCCTGTGTAATTGGACCACACAGGGTGTGAGCTCTGGCACTAAGGGCCTCTGGGCCTTTGCCTATGTGGATGCCATTGTCACAATGGATACATTTATTTATTTTTGAGACAGGGTCTCAACATGTAGCCCAGGCTTAGTCCTCTCTTCTCAGATGACAGCCTGACCTCACAGGGGTGCAGACTATGTGTTAAGCAGTGACCCCCTACTGGGTGCTTACGGTTCAGTACACTCTCCCTGTCTCCTCTCCCTGTCTTGGTTCCAGCATCTCCCCAGTAACCTGAACTTGACTGTGATTATATTTCACCCATGGCTCCTGGTGCCACCTGCCCCCAGTCAGTCGTAGAGCCTTGCACCTCCTTGGGGTCCTGAGATTTGGATGGATCTCAGCACAATGCAACTTTGTCTTTTCAAGCTCCCTGGTAGCCAGAGTTGCAGTTGTCTCTTCTAGAAGTGCCTGGGTCCCTAGCCTTTTGTTTGTCCTTGCCCAGCTCTTGATGCCATATTCTCCCCTCTGCCTGTCTTCTGCTAGGTGTCAGTGGTTCAGGGAAGGAGTCAAAGCCAGTGGAAAATGGGATGCTGGTGACAGACACAGTAGGGAAGCACCTGCAGAGGTAAGTACTTGTGTCTGTGTGCATGTATGTGTGGGGTACCCACCCCTGAGTTTCTCCTGCCCCAGTATCTGCCTGTGGGATCCAAGAAGAGACAGGTAGCCCTTCACCCTACCCACCACAGTTCCCAGGAATTTGGAATTCCTGTACATCCTGCCTGCCTCACTCACCATCCTTCAAGAGCCTTCCTAGGAAGGACCAGCACTGACCTGTAACTCATACAAGCCTGCCCTTCAGTTGTTTGTTCCTACTTCTGAAACTTGTCCCCCATCCCCACATGATTTGTGTCTTTCTTCAGGTAGCTGATAGAGGCAGGTTCTGACTTGTTGGGTTTTGTGAGCCAGCATATGATCACAGTCAGTCACACTAATGGTAATACTGCTTTGGGAACTAGGCATATTTGTTGGCCTACAGTCAGTCTCCTGGGCTCTAGCTCGCAGCTAGCCTGTTATGATTCACATCAAACAGACAGAAGCTTACCAGTTCTGCAACTCTAGGGATGCCCAGCTCAGATTTCAGCCAGTGCCCAGAGGCTGTGAGCCAGTGACCCTAAGCTCTTATCTATGCTGCTTTCAGAAGACTGCTTTGATTTAGTTTGAGATTTTTTTTTTTTTTTTAAGGCAGGGTCTTTTGTATCTCAAGCTAGCCTTGGACTGGATAGAAAGCTAAGGATGAATTTGAATGCCCGATCCTCTTGCTTCTACATCCTTGATGCTGGGATTACAGGTGTGGTGTGCCACTCTGCCTACTTTATCCAGTGCTAGAGTTTGAAAGCTTCATGTGTTCTACCAACTCAGCTCCAGCTCCCAAATAATTTCTTTACATGAAAGATTGTTCCCACATACTTTCTGCCCATACTCTTCACATGCACCACAGCAGCCCCCGTTCGTGACATGCACGTCCCTTTTCCTGGAAACTTGTCCCTGGAAACACAGGAGCACAACAAGTATGTGTGTCCTTGCACTCCCTAAGGTTCTTTGACTGACACCCTACTCTCTTTGGTAACAGGCATCTCAGCAACTCTTCTTCCCATAGTGGGGATACTAGCCAGCAGCACAGCAGCACAGCCGAACTGCAGAAGGCTGGGGCTAAGGAGGAGACTTGGAAGCTGATGGAAGCAGACAAGGCCCAGACAGGGCAGGTGAGTGAGGCACAGTGCACAATGATTTGCTTGGTATGTGTATCTCACAGCAAGCCTCTCAGGGCCCAGGGTCACAGACACTGAGTGACTTGCTGGAGTTGGGATCTGAACTGCTGAATCCATGTTGATAATTTAGTCTCATGACTACCTGACTTTGAGCAGCCTGGTCTATTGAATGAGACCATCCAGGTCACGGGGCAGCTGCAACCACTTCTGCATTTTTGTCACTTATCCAAATGTGTTGCGCTCTCTCACACGTCAGGGCCTTTACACCTGGAAGGTCACCCCTTCCCTGCCTGTTTCCCATTCACAGTTGGTAAACTCTTAAACATCACTTCCTCAGGGAAAGGCACTTGCATGGGGTTCCGTGCCTCTTACGGACCTTCTGTGCTTCCTGTTTCATTGGGTGATTGATGACAGAGCGTTGGCCTGATCAGGTGCCTGACTGGAAGCTCTGTGGGAGGCAGAAAGCCTGGCTTTGCCACTTCTGGCTGATATTGACTAATGGAGTGGTAGGGCCTCGAGCGTCTGGGAACAGGAGGGTGGGCTGGGCTGTGAGGAGTCACGCAGGAAAAGCTAACCTTATGCTAATACTCTGTGGGTCCCAGGTGAAGCTGTCAGTGTACTGGAACTACATGAAGGCCATCGGCCTCTTCATCTCCTTCTTGAGTATCTTCCTTTTCCTGTGCAACCATGTATCTGCACTGGCCTCTAACTATTGGCTGAGCCTCTGGACAGATGACCATCCTGTTGTCAATGGGACTCAGGAGAACAGGAATTTTCGACTGAGTGTCTATGGGGCCTTGGGCATCTTACAAGGTAAGGCTGAGATTGCTTCGTTCGTAATTTCATAACTGAGTCTCCAAGTCCTTAGGGAATTTATATCCCCAAACCAAGCCAGACCAGATGGATAGAACCTGTCACAAGGTAGACCCTGAAATGTTTACTGAGTTCATGCCCACCCTCTTTCCCTCCCAGTCCTTTCTTCAAAGGGTGCCACAGCTCAAGCCACATGGCCAATTGCTGGTTGAGCTGGCATTAAATGAAGCAGCCCAGAGTGTGTGGTCTAGATGTAGGTCTGTGTGCTCATAAAACTGCTTTGTCCACACGACCTTTTCCTATCCTTGATTCACTTATGTGGGCAGTGAGTGAGTCTTCTCACTTTGTGTGCTTTTCCTGTATCCAGGCATGCTGCTGGGAAAGCACTTAGCACTGGCTGTGGCTCGGAGCTGAGTGTCACTGTCCCCATTTTACAGATGAGGTGACTCAATTTTACAGATGAGGTAACATGGGAGGGCCAGCTGACAAGATTAGCAGTACCAGCTCCAGAGCTCCCCTTTCCCTTGTTCCTAGTCAAAGAGACTCAGATAGAAGTCCCAGAAAGAATTCTGTGGACTGTGGAATGTGGGCTGTTTGGAGGGACCACAGATGTTGCCTGGTCTCTGAGATAGCTTGGGAACAAGCCCTCAGAAGATCAGGTCTGATGCCTTGAGTTTCTCTATCTCTAACACCTCCATTTCCTACAGAGCTAGGAACTGCTGCAGCCTTTATATTATATTTGAGAAAAAGCAAAGAACAAATAGGATATGGCATTTTCCCAGGTTCACACAGCATCAGCATCTGCTATTAGAGCTATGTTGCCTGGTATAGTAACTGCCAGACATGGGAGATGATTTGAATTTTAGTTTATTAAAATTAAAGGAAAATTCAGTTTTTCAGAAACCCCAGCACAGCGTGTACTACACAGTGAGGACCACTGGCACTGGCTTGCTGAGACACCTCAGGCCAGCCTGCAGATCACTCTCCTATATCTCACACTTACATCTCTATTGCTGTCCTAGGTGTGGCAGTATTTGGCTACTCCATGGCTGTGTCCATTGGGGGCATCTTTGCCTCCCGTCGGCTGCATCTGGACCTGCTACACAATGTTCTGCGATCGCCCATGAGTTTCTTTGAGCGTACACCCAGTGGGAACCTAGTGAACCGATTCTCCAAGGAGCTGGACACGGTAGACTCCATGATCCCACAGGTCATCAAGATGTTCATGGGTTCACTCTTCAGTGTCACTGGAGCTGTCATCATCATCCTACTGGCCACGCCCATTGCTGCAGTCATCATCCCACCCTTGGGTCTGGTTTACTTCTTTGTGCAGGTGAGCCTCAGGTGCTCCCTTGTCTGCCTGTCTTCTGGAGGGCTGGTGGGAATGTGACCATGGCACCTAGCTCTTCTGTCTGTTGTGAATACTTAAGTGGGCTGCTTTTAGCTTGCAGTAGCTAGGTGTGCTCTCTTCCATTGGTGTCACTCTTTTGAGCTGTGTATTAGAGGGAAAGCTCACAGCTATCAAGGCAGTTGTTACTAGACGGAAATACTAACGTCTACAGTGGAGGCATGAAAAACAGCACCCTCATCGGGACGGTGGATGTTCATGCTCACAGCAGGTTAGGATGCAGCTCGTTTTGAGACTGGTGTAGTCCTATGGGTCAGTCAACACCCCAGTTAATGGCACCCCTTGCTGCCATTAACACCTTCCTTTTTGTTTAGATCTGCTTTGCTGTCTTCACATAAATCTTCAGTCTTTTGGTCTCATGGTCCAAAATGCTTCTCACATCTGTTATGTGTGTAGCTAAGATCCTGAGATTAACAGAAGGGAATAGAAAAGGGACCTATGACCACTGGGTCAGAATTTAAGCCATCCAGTCATCAAGCTCAGCTATTTGCAAGGGAGGGCAGGGAACATTTTGGTTTTCAGCTACCAGTTTCTACCGGGAGATGGGCAGCTGTTCTAGTTCATGCCTTGTCTCCTCTGTAGAAACCACTTTTTCTTTGCATTTGTGTATTTTATTGGGTCATGTCTGTGTAGGTTACATATTCAGGCAACAGATCAATGGGTAGAGACTCAGCTGGCAGAGCCAAGAGTGGGACCCTGGGTGTGTGATTTTGAGGTGTGTGCTCAGAGCTTTAGCTGAAGCATAGTCATTCATAAGGTTGAGTGTTGAGATTGTTGGGGAATGATGGTAATGTAAACACCTTCTGGCACCTGTTTGTCTTCCCAGCACTCAGGGAGCTGAGGCAGGAGGATGGAGAGTTCAAAGCTATATAGCAAGACACTGTTTCAAAGCAAAACAAAAAATTAAAATGACCGAATAGTGGGTTTTTGTCACATAGGGTCTGGGGACCTTGGTACTGCCATCCCATACCTGGGCCCCATCACACTGCAGGTTAATGATGTTACCATAAAGAAAGATCACATTGCAGGGGAAAAGTCATTTCCTGAATCTCTCGGGTAGCTTCTTTAAATCATTGCCAGTTGTTTACTAGAATATCTTGACTGCATTTACCAAAATGTGGTAAATGGCCTCATGGCTGCCTGGAAAGTTTCCTGAAGGCTCTAGTTCAGAACAGGCACAGTGTAGCACTAGAAACTAGAAGTGGTGTGACCTCAGGGCCCCATGGAGGAGTAATGTGCTTACCTTGCAAGTATGAAGACCTGAGTTTGATTCCTAGAAAAAGCCAAGCCTAGGCCATCAAGATGCTGCCAAGCCCAATGTCTAAGCAGGGCTCACATGGTAGGAAATGAGAACTGGCTTCCCTAAATTGCCTCTGACCTCCATGCATGCTGTATAGTATGAATGCACCCTGCTCTGCCCTCCAAAATAAGATAGTGTAAATTAAAAATTAAAGAAAGTCAGGTAAAATGTGTTCATAATCCCAGTGCTGGAGAGGCAGAGACAGAAAGATCCCTGGGATTCATGAGGCAGACAGTCTAGCAAATCAGTGAGTTCAAGGTTCAGTGGGAGAGCCTGCATCAGAAACCAAGGTGGAAAAGAGATGAAGGAAGATACACTGATTCCTGGCCTCTACACACAGTAATGCAGACACAGAAATACACAGCTTGTGGTACAGTTGTGGATGTCAAAGAACAACATTGGCAGTCAGTTCTCTTTCCATCTGGGATGTGATTTGAGAATGAGGTTTATGTAGCAAGAGCTGAGCAGTCCCTTCCTGTTGAACAATCTCGTTAGCTCTGTTTTTAAAATTACAATACAAAAAAAAAAAAGTATACTGACTGGCAGTTTGAATGAGAATGTGCCCCATAGGCTCAAGTGTTTGAACAGTTGCTTCCCAGTTGGTGGTGCTATGTGGTTAAGGTTAGGAGGTATGGCCTCGCTGGAAGAAGGTGCAAGACTTGAGGTTTTAAATGCCACATGTGCCTTTCCCAGTTTGTTCTCATGTTTCATGCTTAGGGTTCAAGATATGAGTTCTCAGCTGGTCTTGTCACCAAGGTTGGTACTTATCATGATTTCCTAATGTGATGAGGCACAGGGAGACAAGAGTTGGCCAATCTCTGAACATGCAAAATGGGGTAGAAAAAGCCTACAAGGCCTCAACCCTTATATACTATATAGGCATACTGGATAGTTTTATGTCAGCTTGAAACAGGGTGAAGTCATCTGAGAGGAGGAAACCTACATTGAGAAAATGCCTTCTTAAGACTGAGCTGTATGCAAGACTATAGGGCATTTTCTTACATAGTGGTTGTTGGGGGAGGGCTTATCCCATTATTGGTGGTGCCATCCCTGGGTTAGTGGTTCTGGGTTCTAAAAGAAAGCAAGCTGTGGAAGCCATGGGAAGAAGCTAGAAAGCAGCACCCTCTATGGCCTCTGCATCAGCTCCTGCCTCCAGGTTCCTGCTCTACTGGAGTTCTTGTCTTCACTGCTCCTCACCCCCTATGCCACACAGGGTTTCTCTGTACAGCTCTGGCTGTCCTGGAATTCACTCTGTAGACCAGAGATCAGTCTGCCTCTGCCTCCTGAGTGCTGGGATTAAAGGCATATGCCACTATTGCCCGGTGTGCCCTCACTACTTTTAATGATGAACTGTTATATAGAACTGTGAGTGAAATAAACCCTTTCCTCCCCAAGTTGGTTTTTGTCATAGTGGGTGTTTTATCACATCAGTTAAGTTACCCTAGTTAAGACAATAGGCAACTGAGTAAAGCTAGGAACAGGAGAAATAGCCTTCCCCCCCACCCCCCAAGGAAGAACACACCATTCAGTTGTCCAGTGCCAAAGGGTCAGCCCTCAAAATATGCATACAGGTAGCATTATTTATACTCAAATCAATTATATTTAGGAATATGTGTGTGTGTGTGTGTATGCGTGCATGCACATACATACACTTGTATACATGCAATAATAATTAGTGAAAGAGGCCATGATTTTGAAGGAGAACAGGGATGGGCCAAGTGTATGGAGTTGCCATCATGTGAGGCTTCTGACACAGGCAGTTGCTCCTTCTGGTTTAGTGGAGTTCATGGGTTTCATGCTTGTTGACATGTATGTGTGTGTGACATGTGCCATGTGTATACATGAAAACAGTGGGACTCACGCTGAAGAACCCATGGCTCTTATTTGTTTTCCTCACAGCCCACTGTGCAGAATGATTTTAGTGTTGCTACAGTACAGAAGAAATAAAAGCTAAGACAGTACAGTGACGTAGCCAGGTTTCTGTGTTAGTAGTAAAAGGATGTTAAAAAGGTCTGGTGGTTACAAAGCCTGTTTCTAAACCTGTCCTGTTGGGAGAGCAAAGCCCCAAGCATTTAGAGGACTTCTGAGAGGCCAGCCAGTCTGGAGGTTAGTACAGGTCCATCCTGCTGCTTCTTAGCTATGGACCCAAAGAGGTCACTTAGTCTGGTCTCCAGCTAAATGCAAGAAAGAGCATTGCCTGGGTTTATAAGTGGCAGATGGGACACACTAGTGTCATGGACATTAGTGTCCTGCAGATCACCAGGTAAGCAGTGTATCTTCAGAGGTTTGCTCCCTGGAGGTTATGAGCCATGTCTAGTTTCTCTCAATATATCCCAGGAGGATAGAATAAGGGAACAGCGCTGACTATGTCTCTCTCCCACAGAGGTTCTATGTGGCTTCCTCACGCCAGCTGAAGCGCCTGGAGTCTGTCAGCCGTTCCCCTGTGTACTCACACTTCAATGAGACCTTGCTGGGGGTCAGTGTCATCCGTGCCTTTGAGGAGCAGGAGCGCTTCATTCGCCAGAGTGACCTGAAAGTCGATGAGAACCAGAAGGCTTACTACCCCAGCATTGTGGCCAACAGGTGGGTGGAGTGCTCAGTCGAAGAGAAACTAGCTGAACAGGGAGTGCCCAGTCCCTCAGCTTCCTTTTTTCTGTGAGAGAAATGGAAACATAAGGGTCATCAAAGTATCATGGTGACACACGCCTGCAGAAAGATTACCATGAGTTTGAAGTGGCCTTCATTGCCTAGCAAATTACAGGCCAGCTAGGCTATAAGATGAGACCTTGTCTCCCAAAGTAAAGCAATGTAGGATCTGGAAAGATGGCTTGGTGACTAAAATTGCTTACTGTGCAAGTATGAGAACCCACATTTGTGTCACCATCTAACCTTGACATTGTGGGGTGCAGGTGGGAGTGGTCTCAAGCTCAATGTCCAACCTTGGAATTAGCACCTCGTTTCTTCTTCATGTTGAGGTCCATCTCTTGCCAAGGGACTGATTTTATTTATTTATCATTATTTATTTATTTATTTGTTTATTTATTTATCATTATTGTTAATATTATTTTGTGGTGGTTACTCTCAAAGCTAGAGCCTTGTACATGTCAGGCCAGTGATCCACCATTGAGCTCTGCCCCGTCTCAAGACATTTGTTTGCAAATAGCAGCGCCTCCTACAGTTCATGACATCTTAGGAATCTTCAGGGAATCATTTTTTTGATATTAATGATTTCTTAAGAAGAAGTTAATCTTCCTAAAGAAAAATGTGAGGTTCCAGGATGAAGATTATTTCTGGAGAATTCTATTTTAGTCCTTGGGCAAGCCAGACTCATGAAGAGTTGTTGGCTTCAAATCCCATGGTCCTTTGGTGTGATCTCTTGCCCCGTCCAGTTCTCACATCCTGGATTCATGGAACCTACAAGGTCTTTCTCTAGAAGTGCTGGGGACTTAGCTCAGCTAGCAGAAGGGCCCAGCTCTGCCTATGAGCTTGAATCTGGGCGCCTGGCTGTCTAACACATTCCTATATATCTCCTTTATGTGTCTCCTTATAGGTGGCTTGCTATACGCCTCGAGTGTGTGGGCAACTGCATTGTGCTGTTTGCTGCTCTGTTTGCAGTCATCTCCCGGCACAGCCTCAGTGCTGGCTTGGTCGGCCTCTCTGTGTCTTACTCACTGCAGGTAAATGACTCTTTCTTGGGCTGAATGGTCTCCTCATGGCACCCAGATTCTGAGTTCCTGGACCTTGGCTTTGGGGGTGGGGGTATCTGCAGGATGAGGAAAAGAGAGAGCGTGAGTGGAGTATAAAGGCATAAAGCCTGGTGACTACAGCATGGGGATTCTGACACGTGGCCTCCAGTTTTCATCTGTCAAAAGACGCTCAGTGAGTTGATGCTTTCAAAGCTATGAATTTCCCTCTGAGTACTGTGTTAGTTGCATCTTATGATGTTAGCATAATTCTCCTGATTCAGTCTCTGGAGCACTGGGGTTAATTATGGACATTAACTATCACATGAAAATCACCTGGTTCCAAAATATTTTCATTTTCTTTCTTTCTTTTTTTTTTTTTTTTTTGGTTTTTCGAGACAGGGTTTCTCTGTGTAGTCCCGGCTGTCCTGGAACTCATTCTGTAGACCAGGCTGGCCTTGAACTCAGAAATCCATCTGCCTCTGCCTCCCAAGTGCTGGGATTAAAGGCGTGCGCCACTACCGCCCGGCTATATTTTCATTTTCTATATGGCTCTTTAGTCTACCATTCCCTTCCTTTCTCTTCCCTCCCTCCCTTCCTTCCAGGAGGGTGTGCCACAGTGCACATGTGGAGTCCTAGAAGCACTCTGCAGCTCAGTTCTCTTCCTGCACCTTCACTGTTCTGAAGGTAGAACTCAGCTCCCCTGGCTTGCTCAGCAAGTACTTTGCCCACAGAGTTATCTCATAGCTCCTGACTTCTTTCTGATAACTTGATCCCTAAGGGGTGCATAGTGTCCACTCGGGGTGATGGCTCTGTGTGGGCTACTCATTTCTGTGTTTGTTTGAGTGATATCATGAAACATAATTAATGAAAATGAAGCCACACTTTCCCTAAGAGACCCCACATGGCCCTTTTCACTGGCAGATAACTGCATACTTGAACTGGCTGGTTCGAATGTCCTCTGAGATGGAGACCAACATTGTGGCAGTGGAGAGACTGAAGGAGTATTCTGAAACAGAAAAGGAGGTAAGACAGGACCCCAGCCTGGTCCCTTGGTCTTGACCTTTCAGACACCTCATGGGTGCCCTCTACCTACTTGGAGGGTGAGCTGGGTGCCTTCTGGGCCCTCTTGGGATTGTTGTGTTTTAACACTTGCTTAGAAACTTCCTTGTTTAGAGGAAGAAAATTGTCCACATGTCCTGTTTTCCCCAAGATACCAAGTGTCCATATATGAGATCCCAAGGTGCTGTCAGGGCCTGTGGGCTGTTTCACTTAATAAGGAACCTTTCCCTTCTCATTCTTTTCTTCAGTGATGTCACAGAGAAAGTCCTAATGCTGATTGTTGCTTGAGGCTCCTGACCTTCTTATTAATTAAGATGTTTTCCCCACAACTGCCAAGTAAACTGCAACATTCTGTCTCACAGCCTTCAGCAGGCAGCCTCTTCCTGCCAAAGCTGTCTACTGTTTGTTCTGGAGGTTTACAGGGGCTCTTGTTATGGGTAATTAAACTGTAATTAAATTCCATCTGTGTAGAAATTTTCCTCATAGATTGAAGAATTAAATGGGTAAATGTATGAGGACTGAGTTTGGATCCCCAGAGTTTAGGATGGCAGCTTGCATTTGCTGATCCTTATTCCTCTTGTGATCCAGGCTCCTTGGCAAATCCAGGAGACAGCTCCACCCAGCACCTGGCCCCAGTCAGGCCGGGTAGAGTTCCGGGACTACTGCCTGAGGTATCGAGAAGACTTGGACTTGGTTCTCAAGCACATAAATGTCACCATCGAGGGTGGAGAAAAGGTGGGTGTGTACCGTCCCCCATCCTCACCAACTCAGAGGTGTGTACCGTCCCCCATCCTCACCAACTCAGAG